GTTAATGGTCTTGCTGCTTCCTTGAGGGTTTCTGATTCTCTAAGGATCATCACAGATATTTGCCGTGTTGGAATCTCTCCTGCTGAGGAGGTAAGTAAGCAATTCATTGCAACTGATCTTTCGTTGGCAAAAGTTTGCTATTTGATTGCCATTGATGCTGATGATTTAGGTTCCCTTTGGTAAAGTTGTGAGATGTCCGAGCTGTTTGATTGCCATTGCTGTTGCACAACCCCAGCATGGAGTTCAGGTACTGATGATCTGATTGAGGGTTTTAGTGCTCAACATTTCTTTTGAAGAATGAGTTGATGATTTGATGACAATGTTTGTAGATTGTCTCCTGCGCTAATTGCCGTTACCAGTACGAGCTTTTCTCTGGTGACATAACCAGCATTGAATCACAAGAGCTCGGGTTAGTTCTCTTCTTTGTTAACTAACTCTTCTAGGGAAAATGTGATGCAGCTTATTTTTGGTTATAGAGACTACCAGAATAAAGATTGAGATGTGTGCATGTGTGTGTGTGTTGATGACTTTGATGCTGAGATATTCACTTTTTCTAAGGAGCTACATCTGCCGAACGCAGCAAGGACATTCCTCTCTGGGAAAAGGGGCTCAGGCTTATCCAGATAAAGAAGAACAAACTCATTTCTTCCGTGCACTCGATTGTGGTAACAAATCCCCATTGTGAACACAGTTTCAATTCCTATTAGAGACTGCATATATTGTAACCATTGCATTGGATTGCAGGTACAAACTCCTTCTGGTACAGCAAGAACGCACAGGTTTGCCACTGAGACCGCCGAGCTACCTGCACAAGAAGGAGAAAGAGTGACAATTGCATCCGCTGCTCCTCAAAATGTATACAGACAAGTGGGACCTTTCAAGTTTACCCCAAAAGCTCCAAACTTTTACTCTGGAGAACCTATGAGCCTCACAAAGCACAAGGACGGAAGAGAATCGGTTTTGCTGAGACCTCCAAGTAAAGACGGAGATAAAACCTTGCAGCCCTCGTTTCTGATTCCTCTGCTTGCTGTTTTGGCTACTGGAGATGCTGCTTCCGGCATCATTGATCCCAGCTTGCCTCAGTTACTCTCAGTTGCTGCTGTTACATCACTCGCAATCGGAGCAACCTTCAATTCTTTTCTTCTTCCTCAGCTAAATCAGGTTATCTTACTGTTCTCTATCAACATGACTTGCCTTGAGAGAAGAACATGTGCCGTATTTATAATTCTCTTTACACGGTTTTCCAGCTCCCTGAACGGACAGTGGATGTGGTGGGTATCAAACAGCAACTCTTATCTCAGTATGATGTGCTCCAGCGTCGCATTAGAGATCTAAAAGAAGCAACTGAGAAAGAGGTACTAAGTCCATGATGATACAGACTTACCAAAAGCTTTTGAATACAAATGAAACTTCTTTGTGTCTTCTATTTAGGTGTGGATGTTGGCTCGAATGTGCCAGCTCGAGAACAAAATTTTAGCAGTGGGAGAGCCAGCGTACCGGTAATGACTCTGGGATCATTTGAACATGATCATCTTGGATATTGCTTTTACACAAACATTTTATAAAAAGTGTTTCATACTCGAATATAGGACTCGAAGAACAAGAGTAAAGAAGGTACGAGAAGCTCTGGAAAACTCCATAAAAGGAAAGATTGAGCTTATCGATAGCTATGCTAGAGTAAGAAAACGAAACAACACCTTTTTACATCTTGAAAATCTTAATTCATGTTCTGATTTTTATAACTCTTTTGACTTTTATCTTCAGATATCTTCAATGATTGAGATCGAAGTGGAAATGGACAGTGATGTTCTTGCAGCCGAGGCAGTGAACAACACTGTGAGTTACTCCTAAGTGTTACTTATGAATCTGTATATGAGACTAAAGTAAAAACTCTGTTTTTTCACAGGAGAATATTGCTCAACAGATAGAGCAGATCATGGAACTCGAAAACCTTGAAGAAGTGTGTACATATGCATTCAAACCATTTGTATATATTGTCATCAACTGCAATTTTTCCAGTTCCATTTTTGGACAAAGCAAAGCATACTTTTGTGTGTTTAATGTCACTTTGGGCTTATTTTATTGTTTGAGATGCAGAAATGGAAAATACAGGCTGAAGCAAACGATGAGGCAGAGAGACTTCTCAGCTCTCAACCTTAAAAACAAATCTGGTGAGTATTATAATTTTTTTTTTTTTTTAAGAATCTTTTTCTTTCTCCAGAGCTGCATTGGAATATCCTCACTGTCAAAATTAATACTTTTTTTATAATAATGTTTTTGTAATTAAAATGGTAACGCTGGTGTTACAGGTCAAGACTTGTGGAGCATCTCGCTAAAAGTTAAGCTTCGTTTGTCGGCCGCTACAAGTTAATTTTTCATTAGCTCTAATTATAGATTGTTTATGTGATATATAAATATAGTTTCGTAATCACCGAAATGTTGTTTTCTTGTAATATGAATTTTATAATTTGTATCCCTGAGTCCCTGACTAATGCTTAGGGATTGTTGCTTGTGTCATTTTGTTAATGCAAGGCTGTAGTTGCTAAAGCACGCAAAGCCACTTTCTCCAGAAAATTGTGACATAAATTAATTTTCTAAGTTTACAAAGAAAAAACAGCGCAAACGGAAAAGCCACGTGTCATCTCATTTTAGTCCAAAACAAAGATAAAGCTTTCTCTTTTGATTCTCTTTCTCTCTTGATAGACTCTTGGAGCTCCGATGGTGATGAATATTCTGGTGACCGGCGGTGCTGGTTACATCGGAAGTCACGCGGTGCTCCAGCTTCTCCTCCGCGGCTATACAACCGTTGTCATCGACAATCTGGACAATTCCTCTCTCGTTGCGATCCAACGCGTCAAGGAGCTCGCCGGAGATCATGGAGAAAATCTCACATTTCACCAGGTTTGACCGGTTTCTTCCTCTTGCGCTTCGAATTCCGGTGATCATGACCTGAATTGGGAGTTTCTTTGGATTTGTATCTCGATTTGGGAGTAATGTTGGTCAAATCTCTTCTCATTGATGGATCGAATTTGGGTTACCTGTAATCTGAGAAAAGTTTGGAAATTAAGATGGCTAATGAATCTCTTACCTCTCAGGTGGACCTTTGCGACAAACCCGCGCTAGAGAGGGTTTTCTCCGAATCAAAGTGAGTTTTCACTTTTTACTCAGATCTGATCTGATCTAAAGAAAATGAATCATCCAGAAATTTGACTCAACGCTCATTGTGGCTATATTGTAATGTAGGTTTGATGCAGTAATGCATTTCGCTGGACTGAAAGCAGTCGGAGAGAGCGTGGAGAAACCGCTTCTGTATTACAACAATAACTTGATTGGCACTATTACTCTTTTGGAAGTCATGGCCGCTCACGCATGTAAAAAGGTAAGTATGCAGCTTGTGCTCTCCACTGTGTGTCTTGTGTCATGTGAAAGGTTGGTTTTTTAACTAACTTTCTGTGAGATTGATCTGTATCACAGCTTGTATTTTCTTCGTCGGCTACTGTATATGGATGGCCAGAGGAAGGTCCTTGCACAGAAGAGTCCCCTTTGTCTGGAATGAGTCCTTATGCAAGAACAAAGGTAGCTAACTGAAAGCTTTGTAGATATTTGTTATTGGTACACTTGCTTATCCCGAAATGTTTCTAGGTGTTTATTGAGGAGATATGCCGTGATGTACAACGTGGTGATCCTGAGTGGAGAATCATAATGCTGAGATACTTTAACCCAGTGGGAGGTCATCCTAGTGGTCGCATTGGTGAGGATCCACGTGGGACCCCAAACAATCTCATGCCTTATGTCCAGCAAGTTGTTGTTGGGAGGCTGCCTAACCTTAAGATCTACGGTACTGACTATACCACCAAAGATGGCACCGGTGTAAGACTTTTCCACATAGACCCTCTTGCTTTGCTCCTTAATCAGATTGATCTTTAGCGGTAGTTTGTGTAACTTCAGGTACGAGACTATATTCATGTTGTTGATCTAGCTGATGGCCATATATCTGCGCTTCAGAAGCTAGAAGATTCTGAGATAGGTAAGGTTTTTCATTGTTGCATATGCAAAAGCTCTGCTCAGCTGTGTTTGACGTTGGCTCTTGTGCTAGGTTGTGAGGTATACAACCTGGGAACTGGGAAAGGAACAACGGTGTTGGAGATGGTTGATGCTTTTGAAAAGGCTTCTGGAATGGTATAACATCGCTTCTCTCCTTCTCTCTGTGTCTCTTATAAGAGTGTATGTGTTTGCTCTTAATATATTTTTGAGATCATGTGTACAGAAAATCCCACTGGTGAAGGTTGGAAGGAGACCAGGTGATGCAGAGACTGTCTATGCGTCAACCGATAAAGCTGAACGTGAACTCAACTGGAAGTAAGTAAAGACTCAGAGATATGTTTACATTTTCAAGTGAATTTTTGTGTTGTTGCAATGCCTCTGAGACGGAAGAAACTCAAAATGTTTGGACAGGGCAAATTATGGAATCGAAGAGATGTGTAGGGACCAATGGAACTGGGCAAGCAACAATCCTTTCGGTTATGGTGCTTCACCAGACACAACATAGCAACACCAATTTTTCTTTGTCTTTATGTTACACTCTCAGATTCCTTCTCAGGTTTAAGATTTGAAGCCACACACAGTAAAGGAGAACTTACTATTTGCTTTATATTCAATATATTTGTTTTCTCTTTTTGTAATGTATTCACACGCATAGGTTTAACGTAAGTGGATTCGTATGTCTATTGGATTTGTATCACCTTTCTTAGGAAATTATTTATGGGATTGTATTTGTACAAGATAGATATTGAATTCAGTTTTAAGTGGGTTTTGCTTGCTATTTCAAGGCCATGTTCTTATTTTATGATAAAAAGGCAGCGTCAAAGACAGTGACCAAACGAAGCCCTATTAACTATTGAAACGAAGAAAATAACGCAAGAAAAGGACAAAGATATTTTGAAGAAAAATACACAAATCTCAAGGATAGTGGGAGCTCTCCGTTGATGTGACTTCAGTCAGTGTTCATTCACTTTTTCTTTATTATTTTCATCTTTCTCCTTTATTTGACTTCTTGAAATTACAAATGTGTACCAGCTACAAATACATGAACAATTAAAATTCAAAAGTTATAAACTCTTTTTTGGTATATTCTCTTGCTATATGAAATCCACTTACTTTATGAAATAGACCTTTTGGAATTGAAACAGATCTTCAATGCTTTGTAGAACCTCCCATACCACTCAGACCATAATTCAAATTTAACAAAAGAAAGAAAAAAAACAAAGTTAACTGCCATAATTCAGGAAAACGAGCTTTTTTGGGGATCATTTCAAGGAAAGAACGTGACCATTTGCTCAAAAGAACAACAATTAGCAAAATCAAAAATCAAATTTTAAAGTTGCTCTTCTTTAGGAGGGAAACAAATTTATACAATTTCTAATTAGTTTCCTTAAACTTAAAAGGAGCTGAAAAAAAAATTAGTTTAAAAAGAGTGAAAACTAAATAAATAAAAAGCAAAAATGGAGAAATTAATAAGTGCTAATATGGAAATTAGCAATGGAAGCCCAAGACGGCACCATCAGCAATTGAGACGGTGACCCGACAATCCGATTTAGCAACCACGTGATGCGTGAATACGTGTAATACTTTGACCCGACCCGCTAGCTCCATCTTCGACTCTATCTCTATCGTTGGTCCGCCCCGGTTCACATTCCCGAAACCCGGATTCGCATATCCATCCCCGAGCGTTGGCCCCGTCCCTCCTCCGATTCCCACCGGCGTACCCGGAATTCCCGGCGGCACTCCCATTCCTGGAAAACCCGGCGGAGCTCCGATTCCTGGAAAACCTGGTGGAGCTCCGATTCCTGGAAAACCCGGTGGAGCTCCGACTCCTGGAAAACCCGGTGGAGCTCCGATTCCTGAAAAACCCGGTGGAGCCATATTTCGCGGAAAACCCGACCCGGGATTCCCTGGATTTCTTGGAGGATTTCCTGGATTTTCCGGTGAGCCTGGATTTCTCGGCAACGTCAGAGAGCCTGGGTTGTTCCCGGGAAAATCTGGAGAGCTTGGAATTCTCGGAATGCTCGGAGGACCTGGATTCCCTGGAAAATCCGGCGTTTCTGGATCTCCTGGAAAATCCGGCGAATCTGGGATCTTCGGAGAGTCTGGACTTACGGTGAAATCCGGAGGACCAGGCAATACCGGAGAATCCGGAACCACGGCGGCGGAGACGGTGGCTATGGCGGAAGAGGAAGGAGGAGAAATGGGGAAAGATTGGACAGTGAAAGTGGCGGCCATGTACTGAGTCCTACCGGAATCAATTTTGCCGGCGGGTATAAACATAAACCCGACTTGATTACCCGAGTAAAGGAGCTGAATGGAGCTGTCGTAATGAGAGAAAACGGCGCGGTTTGGGTTTCTGACGGCGACGTACTGAGAGAAGCTGAAGTTAGCGGTGTTGTTGGAGATGGCGAATGACGGGAGTTGGACGGCGTTGACGGAGATCTTGGGGTCTTTTGGTTTGAAGACGGTGAAGTAGACGATAAGGAGGACGGCGAGTAAGAAGAGTAAGAAGACAGTAGCGACGGCGCAAGACGCTAGATTTGTACGGTTTGAAGGACGACGACGACCACCGTGAGGCTTTGCCATTGCCGGAGATCGAAGAGTGTTTGGGGACGCGTATAGCGTTGAAGGAAAGAGAGTGAATGAGTGATAGTGAGACAGCGAGAGAGTGAAGTAAAATGGGATTTATTATTATGTCAGTCTGAAAACTAAAAGCGGAGTTATTATTACGCCTTTAAGACAAAAAACAAAAGACATACAGAAGCCTTCATTCACATATTTCATTTTATTACCGGCTTATTGCATTAATTAAGAATGATTTTTATATGTATATGGAGTTAGATGTACAAGAATCCAAAGTCACATGATCTTTTTTTTGGTGTATTTTTACCACATGGTATGGGTGATGAGAAACCGTCTAAAGTCCATTTTCAGTGGGATTTGCTGTTTTATTTGAAGCCTTGTGTAAGAAAAAAGTATCTAATTTTAAGGAAAATACAAATTTACACAAGTCATCATCAACCAGAAGCACACTGCCAAATTGCACTTTGACTAAGTGAGAGATGCAAGTTTGGTTGGATCCAACTTGCAAAAATATCACTAGAAGATAAATAACAGAAATGCCCCTACTAGACCCAAATTTTACTCTGATATATAGATAGATATTCATATTAGTATTACTCCATTTCAATTTCACAGTTCTTTGATTTTTTTTAGATAAACAGGTTTGATTGATGTAATATCCTGAATGAGCAAACAGATCCAAACGTTTTATTTATTTAAACACAAAAGCTTAAAGGCTTCTTTCATGGAATGAAAAAATTATCCAAGAAGAGCCTATCAGAGGTTTGTTCAGCCACAAAAGCACACATAGCATACAATATACAAACAGACAAGAAAAACCAAACTTCATTATGTACTTAAAAAGAAAGTTTACTTAGTTAGAGCTGGTCCAGACGACGATCCATGGCAACAGAGACAGCTTCAAGAAACGTAGCCTCGCTTGACTCAGGCAACACAGAGTTGTGAGCTTCTCTCAGTATCTCTTCAATCGCAGAGACTCTGTTCACTGTCTCTCTGCACATTATGCTCCCGATTTGATACGGCGTCATGTTCCTCTCAACGCCTTTCTTCAGAAGCATCGTTGAGATTCGTAGCGTCCGTGAGACAGCTTCGGGAACGTCCCAACCGTTGAGCTTCAGAAGCGCAATGTCTTGCTCAGAGTCTAGCGAGTTTATGTAGCTGAGAGTCTCTGATGAAAACGGAACTTTTGCTTGCGGCCAGTAAAGCCACTCAAATGTACAATCTTCAAACTGCAATTAGCAAACTTTTAGTGTCACTTCTAAGATCAGTCAATGTTGAGCGAATAGTACAGATAACTTACGTTTTCCGGCAAGCAATAGCCATGATCGATGGGGATTAACACGGTTTTGCCGTCTTCGCCTTTCCCTGTCAATATGTTTCCGGCGTGACGATCTGCGTTCGCCATTCTGATGTCAAAGACGCTAATCTTATGAACTTCTTCCACAGGGAAAGCTCCGGGACCAATGTCTTCACAGCTTCCATTGTTCTTCATGAACATTTGCAAAGAGCCAACTTTGGCCTCTTGTGTATCAGAACCCCCACCAAAGTTGTACACTTTGTGAAAGCTTCTCACCATAGCGGTTGGTGGCACACCGGCAAACCCCATAGCTTCTTTAGACGAAGATCTCGGATGATCTAATAAGTAAGCTGCAACTTCTCTTGTAGCTCCTTCTCCTACTCTAGTGCCTCTCTTCAACCCCTGACCGTCTGTTGACACAGGAAGCTTCTGAGGATTGTTCACTGCCATTGGCTCCTCGTCCATGGGCTTGAAGACGGAGACGTAGTTAAGACCTGAAGAGTCTTGCATCAGATACGTTCCTCCTGTTCCTTGAGCTGATCTCACCGGTGGATTACCTTTCTTCAACCCATCAACCGTGCGGTCAATCATATCCTCTAGAATCTCAGGCAACTTCACATCCGGATTGAGAACAACAGGCTCTAACAACAAGTCTTGATCTTCAACTTTCACTGAAACTTCTTCTTCCTTCACAGACTTCTTAACAAGCAAATGGATGACAGAGTTTCCATCTTTGCAAATCCCACCAATGATTCTTCTGTCATCAAGCTTCTCGCCTCTAAACAAGATCTCTTGATCATCAACCTCAGGAAACCCTTTCCCTTCTTTTGAGATCCGTTTCTTCAGATACCCAACGTCTCTACGCCGATCCACATGAAACTCAAAGGCCTTGCCACAAGTGGTTATCACAGTGACGAGGAGAGGATCGTAGAGCTTGAGCACCAAATGCAACACACTCCCACCGGTCACACCGTAGTCCCTCACACGAGACGCGTTCCTCGCGAGCTCTCGTCCACTGAAAACGAGTCTCTGTCTCCTCACCCTAAACCCGTTGCAAGTCTGGATCCTAAGCTTGACCTCGGCGATCGAATCGGACTCCAGGATGAGCATAGGCATCGTAGAACCGGAAACGCTAAGGAACACCAAAACCGATTTCACCGAGTAGTGCGATGATGACGATGATGATGATTCGTGACCGAAACAAAACCCAGATCCTCTATGAATCGGGCTCAAAGCAACATCAGCAACTGACATTTCCTATTCAAAAAAAAAACTAAATCTAATCCCAATCTAAAACCAACATAGATCTTCTCCTACGGGCATCAACAAGAGACACCCTTCCATGGAAAATCGATCGGAAGATCCAAAATCCTACAGACTAAAACAACACCTTCCCAAACCTAACGGAGACCACAGAGATCAAATTAACCTATAGATTCATCATGAAATCTCCTGGAAATTCCCGAATCGAAACGAAGATCGGAGAATGGCGATGAAATTGAAGATCGATAAACCTCAAAGCCACAATTTGTCTTCGTCTCTTCTCTTCTCTTCTCTCTTTCTCTCTCAGATGATCTTAACCAAATATAAGTCCAATGAATGAATCGCTGAAAGAAAGGGAAGATTTTTCGTTGAGAAGCAGCTCTTACTTTAAATAGACGCGCTCCTTAGCCATTTCCGGATTTTGTAATACTAACGCCGTTACTTTGTTCATTGACGACCGTTTGTTCAATACAAACGGAGTTGGAAAATGATTTTCGGATATTCCCTTTACTTTTTAACCTTTTTCAGAGTTAATTTACGCGTAAAATCTGAATTCATGTTTTATTTTTGTATTCACTGATGATATCAAATACGTGGAGTTCATATGATAGATTTATAGCAAAATGGAAATTTTTTATTTTATTGTCTTTTAAATAATACTATTTGAGTAACGCATTCTTATCCACTTACGGAGTGGTAACGTGGTGATCTTACCGTCATCAAACTAACGTGGCTTTTGCCTTTGCCGGTGAGCGACGGTATCGTGAGTCATTCCTGCAATGAAATCTTGCCACGTGTGATTCTTTGTAAGAAAAAGAAAAACTAAGCTATTAATTGAAGTGATCATTAATTTATTTAGAGATGGGATTATGCGAACTTAATTAGTGGAACATTTAACTTTTAGGAAACTTGAAACTGATCGTCAACCGAGATTATTGCCGTTGCACATGTATGGGGTCCTCTCTTTTGCTAACAAAATAATCATATTCTCAAAAGCCTAAATCATCATTGTATTATTTTGAATAAAGCATGTATTATAATATACAAATACATTATGAACAATAATGAATTATGTAGGTTCGTAGAATCATCTTAACAAGGTTCATAAAACAAGTTCCAGCTCAAAAAAAAAACAAACCAGAACAAGATTCTTTGAATGGCTTTGACTTATTTAATACACTAAAAACGGAATATAATTTTAAAATTGTAGTGATATGATAATTTTGTATACAGATATTATTATCTGGATGACGAGTAGTTTTGCTTATGAAAATTGCATATAATATAACAAATGTACCACGAAGGAAGGGTCCAAAGGAAAGTTGTGTCATAACATAAACACATTAAAGATTTGCCGTTTCTTTCGAAAGATCTTATGTCTACTTCATGAAATGATGCATCTAATTATCTAAACTTTTTTTGTCCCCTTGTCATCCCATATATAAGTTTTTTTTCTTCTTTCTTGTTAACAATTTTATTTTCTTTTTTTATTCACATTAGTTATATTCACAAAAATAAATAATTGATCGTAGATTAGATGTTATTATTTTTTTTTTTATAAAAAAAAATCAATCAACTAGCATCTAAGCTTTAATGTGAATTGAACTGTTGAAAACGTCCATATTGGCCGGTGGCTTTATTATATCTGACGATAAAATAATATAACCTGATATTTTGTAGTCACGAATCACGATTATGGTACATGAACACCAGTAAATAACTAAATATAAATAACTCGAGCAAGTTAACTAATTTAAAATTTTCAAACACAGTGGGCCACATACAACGATCACTTCAACACACGTGTAGGTCCGACGCTGCTCCACCGCTCCCAATAGCCGTTGTTCTTACACAGTTACCGTTGGACTCCGACATGTTTGCCACGTGTTCTCAAACCATTCGTTTATTTCACCACGTAATCAATCACCTGCATCCTCTTTTGAAGTGGACCCTTCTTCGTTCTGGTTTAAAATTGGTTTACTCTGTGCAGTTTCAATCTTTAGCCATTTCAGTTATAGAATTTTTCCTTGTTAATCATTGTAAAGTTCCGTGATGGTAATATTGTCAAACAGGGTTGATTAAAAACGAACGTGAAGCAAAATAAGAAGAAGAAAACAAATTGCAAATTATATTAGGTCTTGTACCAGATATTGCAGGACCGGTTTACTGATAATAAGTAGGCCCGGTTTCCGAATTAATACAGAAGAAGGATTAAAAGAAAACTCAAACGAATAAATCGGGAGAAACTCTGGCACGTTCAAAAGATATCTTCTAGTCGTCTACTTCGGAGTCAAGAACGAAACTTGGAAATGCTAGAGTCACTTCCCTGCAAACAATAAAATCACTAGAGTAATTATGACCATGTTGTCAATAATCAAATAGACAAAACATTTTCTTTTAATAATAAAGGTGATTTAATTGTAAAGTTACTTGAGGTATGGTAAAGTCATGTTCTTGAGGATTGAAGGATTCTTAGCGACGAGCTCTTTCCATTCATCTTCGTCGATTTTTCCATCTTTGTTCGTATCAACCTCTAACATCGTCTGTTTCATTATACAATAACCAAAATTTCATCTTTAATTATCTCAACATAAGATATAAAATAATGTTACAAGAAAATAAAAAATAACCTGTTCCACGATGGCTTCAATGGACTCTTCGGATAGTTCTAAGTCTGTTTCACTAAGTAGAGCACCAACCATCTTCTTCAACTAATCAATTTTCGACAAAGCATTATACTTAATTAAAAGCATTACGCATAGAAATGATTGTGCATGCTTTATACTTATTTGTTCATTTTTTAACAACAGTACCTCATGAGGCTCGATGAAGCCGGTTCCATGGAGGTCGTAAAGCTTGAACATAACTACAATTTACAACATTATAAACGGTTTAGCTTTTGATCACCAAAAATTGAATATGTTTTTCATGATCTTTAGATGTAGATACGTACATGATGACTTTTCATGTTCGGGAGTGTATGGATGGAAGATGCTAAGTGAACGAACAAATTCACCAAACTCAATCACACCGTTGCGTTTCCTATCAAACATATAAAACACCTGCAAACAAACTATTACTAATTTAACACCTTAACCTATTCTTTCAAAAACAATGTTTATGAGTTTATATGGATCACGGAAGAGAATACGAACCCTATCCGCAAAAAGATTTTGCATGCTGCTGTTCCTAAACAAAGCTAGAAGAAACTCTTCCTGCTCATAATATATAGATGCGATTGTTTAGATTGTATGTATAATCCTTTTTCTGAATGAAAAAAAAAAACCATTAAGTAAATAAATAAATGTTACCTTATGGATAAGACCATCGTCGATAATGGATGTACTTAGCTTCTTGAATAAATCGTGTAAAGCCTCTATCTCATTCACCGTAACTGCATATATAGATCAATTACGTATATATATACGGTATACCATAGTGTCTATTAAATCTTAATCAATTAATTTTAGTTATTTCAATTTGGAATAGGTCCTGTGTTTTATTTTTTTGTTTGTTTGACTTACATGGAGTTTCGGATGCAAGAACATGAGGGTCCTCATACCCTGGAGGATGCTTTGTTCGCTTCAACGAGAAACATTTCACGAATGCCAACATTTTTCAAAATTTTCTACCTTCAAATTTTCATAATATTTTCATCAATTAATCTCAATGCATCAACAGCTCAAAAATCAATGCTAAAATTGAATAATTATGGTGCTAATATAAAGAGGAAAAAAATGTTTATGGTTCCTAATATTAGTTTCTATCAGTACTGGTCCATATGATTTTTAGGATTATATATCATATGATACAGAACAAAACCATATACTTATGAAAATTGGATTAACAAACTCTAAACACAGACACTAGTTAATGAATATGCCTTTGAGCTAATGATCTGACCATATTATGACTAGAAATTTGAATCATGCAACAAATCAAAACTTGAAACTAAAAATAGTCAAACCAATTATTCTCATGAGGTGTTTTCACCAAAAACAAACAAAAGGCCATTCAATTTTGATATGATCACGCAAGACCCCCAAGAACCAAACGAAACAAAAGAAAAAAAAGGCCTACGAAATCAAATCTTTTTGCCAAGACAATCAAACGACCTTTTTGTTTGTTAATCAAACGCAGTTTGAAATCCATACTGTAGAGATCTCTGAGTTATAACGAAAAAGCCAAAGATTCAATACTAGTTTATAAAAATCATGGAAAGAGATACCTGGGTGATCTTTCTTGTCTTCAATTCCTATTGGTTGGATTTAGATTCGGTGTTCTTCCATTTTTGGTGTTTGCAAAGACTTTTATTACAATGACGATGGAGTGCTTCTGTGATTGGACGGTAACAAAAGTTTATTCTCTATCTAAGATTGATTAATGCTGTTAAATTATTACTTCATTAAAACTCAAGAATCATTTTTAAAATAAAGAAAGTTATGACTGTACAGTTGACCCCTAATAAAAAAAACATAAAATTTAAAAAAATTAAAAATACTTCATGTCAATTTTTTTGACCCATACTCCCTCTCTCCCAAATTATAAGCAGTTTGGGACAAAAATGAGAAATTAAGAAAATTAACTTTTTCTATTAAAATATAATTTAAAAAATAAATTAAATATACCAATGCTAAATAAAACCTGTATAATCTAACTGGTTGCACAATATTCCATAAAGCAAAAGTTGCATTGGTTAAAGAAAAAAGTTTATAATTTAGGACAAATTTTTTTTTCAAAACTGCTTATATTGTGGGACAGAACGAGTAATAAACAAATTGTTGATAAATAAAATTTGAAGTAAGATAAAGGGTTGTATATATTAAAGAAGGGAATATTCTTTAGATAGCTCTTTTTTTTCTTAATATATATATATATATATATATATTTTTTCACAAATTCTCCTTCATGCATTTATATGGTTGTTTTTTATACAGTATACGTTAGAAGAATTTAGCTTTATTTTGTCTTTTGTACAGTTTCACCTTTTTACCACACTTATGACTTATCTAATCACTTTTCGTTCAAAAATGCTAAGCTAATGTAACCCCTTTTCTTTCTATCTATTCTTTTTCCTACTTAACGATACTGTACTACAAATGAAATTTAATCAAATTATTATGTACAATATAGCTATTTCTAATGAAAAGATGAAAGATTTATATGTTACACTAAAAAGATAAACAATCATTATTTGTAGGATTAACTAGTATAGTTTTCTACAAACATCAATGTCTACTAATTAGTAGTTAATTCTCTTAACTTAAGACACACGGTAGTGAACACATTTCGTATAGAAGTTAAGGCAACTGTGTTAGATTCTCCCAATACAATTTAGGGTATAGTTGCCTCTTGCGATTTTTTTGATAAATGATCTATTGTACTTTTATCAGTTTGAATTCACTAACCCTCTCTCATACTGTATTTGACATTATTGGGATGTGGTGGTCCACTTGTATTTGAAAATTAAATAAGCGAGATGTGATATGGAAATAGATTGATCAATCTATTGTAATATTACTAAACCATTAACCATTATCGTTACTTCCTTTGACTCTTACTATTCTTCTGACTCCATGCTCTCCAACTTGTGCAAAATATTTCAAAATCAGCATCAGCAAAAGATAAAGCAACTAATTAACCAAAATGAGAAAAAACCAAATTCAAGACTTACTCTCCGAGAGAAACGGACGTTCCTCGTTGAACCGGAGCTGGACGAATTGGTCGAGGATGAGCAAGAATTGCACCAGGAGGTTGAAGTTGAATTGGTCCTCGTGGGGGAAGTGGAGCTGGAGCTCTTGGGGGAGGCTGAAGAAGAACCGGAGCTGGACCTCTTGGTCGAGGATGAGCAAGAATTGCACCACGAGGTTGAAGTGGAGCTGGTCCTCGTAGGGGAAATGGAGCTGGACCTCGTGGGGGAAGTGGAGCTGGACCTCTTGGGGGAAGATGAACTGGTCCTCTAGGCTGGAGATGGACAACTTGCTCCAACTCAACACCATCGAGCAAGTCATCCAAATCTATGTCTTCAAGAGCAATTGGGTCAAGTGGACCGGTGAAAATCGAAACTAGGGTCGTATGGAAGAAGGTCCCATTGATAATCGTTGTTTTGCTTCTCAGATTGTTCCACCAAGTTCTGTGAAGGAAAACAAAAACCGAGATTCTAAATCGCCATTCTAGCAAAATCAACGATTAAACCCCTAAATCTAAGTATATAATCCCAATCCCAATCCCAATCCCAACAACAAGTTAAAGAAATCCGACTTGTTCTCTTTCCCCAAGCTTCGCAACCAACAATAAAGTTCACAACTTTCACCGAGAACACATACCCGAAGTTCATCTAGAGTCTGATGACATGCTGGGTAATTGCCGGCGTCAAATGCGTTCCTGAAATCAGCAAAGTGTTGATTGAAATTCATGTTTTGCTTCTTCTGCTATTTCCTTCGTCGTCACTGCTCTTCTTCTGCTATTTCCTTTGTCGTCACTGCTTTCTCTTGACGTACGGTTTCTATTTCTCAAACAAAGAAATCAATGATATTCAAAATGGGCCTTGGGCTGAGACGATAACATTTTGACTACCGTGTACAGTTTCACCAGCTTCTTCTTCATTGAGAGAAGCAAAAGCCATCAAATTTTTTATCTATTGTTTTGTAAATTTATTCTTAATCATCTTTTTGTTTTTTCTCTAATTCTATTTTGTTTAAAACAGAAATTAATGAATCCAGCTCGTACTTGTAGATTGAATATGCTCTATTTCAATGTGTTTTCTTTTTAATCTGTGTTAAATATATACTCTATTTGCTTATTTACATTCTACAATTTACTCTATTAACTGAATTATTCAAGTTATTTTGCAAAAAGAGTGACTCTTTTGATTTAAGATAAAAATCTACATTTCAAATTAAAATCAAAGTACAAATTATTCTGCAACAAACAGATTCTACTAATCCGAAAGATAGAAAGCCTTAATGTTTTGCTGCTTCTTCTCTCAAAAGAGGCTGAAACAGGTCCTTAAGAATCCCATCCCTCATCACTCCCCGCGTCCATGCTGCTTCTTCGGTCTCTTTGTCAAACAGAGTCTCCCACAAGCCCAAAATGTTAGACTCCATGACATCCCTCACAAAACCATTTGCCTCTGAAACATCCTTGGCACAAATCAATTTCTCCTCTACCTTCTTCAGAGATTCTTGGATACGCGACGTGAACTCTCGGCCATTTGCGCAGCTTCCTTGTAATCTGACAAACGAAACAAGCTTATCCAGGTCTCTGATTCCAGCATCAGAACTCTCCCAAGTGTTCCTGGTCAACTCCCACTGGACAGACTTGCCACCAATCTCATATACTCCATTCTTCGGTTTGATATGCATTGCGTAGACATAATGCATCACACCAAGCAGCCTGTCTCCCACGGGACTACCAGGCTTCAGATCCTTTTTTACATCTCTCCATATATTCCAGCAGAACCGTAACATACTATGAATGTCGTCACACAACAAGAACATCGACTCAGCCACATATAGCGAGACCTCAACTCCTAGTCGCACGGACTCCTCTTCCAGATCCTGCCTTGCAAAATCCTTCCTGCCAAAACAACAACATAAGCTCACATATGAAGACTGACTTTCTATGTAACCCGAGTGAGTGAAGAACAACTATCAAATGGGCTGAGCAATATTACTGACCCTGATTCGCTCAAAATAGGATGAAACAGGTCGCTAAGAATCTCCTCCCTCGTCACTTTCAGCGACCATGCTTCCTCGGTTTCTTTGTCAAAGAGAGTCTCCCACAAGTCCTCAATGTCAGACTCCATCGCATCCCTCACAAACCCATTCATCTCTGAAACATGCCTAGCACACCTCAATTTCTCCTCTATCTTCTTCAGCGCTTCTTCAACACGCGACGTGAACTCTCGGCCATCTGCCCAGCTTCCTTGTTCTTCGAGAATCAAGACAAGGTTGTGCACATCTCTGATCCCAGTGTCAAAACTCTCCAAACTTGACCTGACCAGTTCCCACTGGGCCGATTTGCCACTAATCTGATATACCTCATTCTTCGGTTTGATATTCTTTGAGTAGACATGATGCATTACACGAAGCAGCCTTTCCACCACGGGACTACAAGGTTTCAGGTCCCTTTTTACATCTCTCCATAACTTGAAGCAGAAAAGTAACATACCACGAATGTCATCACACAGCAGGAACATTGATTCAGCAACATATAGCGAGAGCTCAACTCCTAGTCCCACAACCTCCTTTCTCATCTCCTGCTTTGCAAAATCCGTCCTGCCAAAACAACAACAACAAATAAAAAACCAAGACGGACTTTGTCTGTAATCTAAGTGAGTGAAGAAGAACAACTATCAAAGGTTACTGACCCTAGAATGTAAGGAGAATATACGGGCAGCGTGGGAATGTCGCTATGCCATGATTCGTCCAAAATAGGCTGAAACAGGTCGCTGAGAATCCTACTCCTAGTCACTCGGTGTGTTGCTTGGCCAGCTTCTTGCTCAAACAGAGACTTCCACAAGTCAGAAATGTTAGACTCCATTGTGTCCCTAGCGAAACCATTCCCTTCTGAGACATGTTTTGCGGACCTCAACTTGTCTTCCAGCTTCTTCAGGACTTGTTGCTTGTATTTTGTAATTGCAGACGACAATAGTCTATCGTCGAAAGAGCAATCTTTTCTTCTGAGAACCGAAACAAGGCGGTGCAAGATTATGATTCCGTCAGTGAAATCCTTCCAGGTGGTCCTGATCAATTCCCACTGGACCGAGCTACCACCAGCCAGATACGCTCCATTCTTCGGTTTGATATCGTTTGAGTAGACATAGTGAATCACACGAAGCAACTTTTCTGACACAAGATCAGAGGGCGGTAGTGTATATTTCCACAGCTTGTAGCAGAACCACAACATAGTACCAACGTCATCGCACAGCAAGAACATGGACTCAGCAACAGAGAGTGAGAGCTCAACTCCAAGTCGCACAACCTCCTCTTTCACGTCTTCCTTCCGAGAGACCGTCCTATAAGAAAGAAAGAAAAAAAGAACAAAAGAGAGTCAGTCAATATTCGGACTTTAGTAACCTGAGCAAACTCTCACAGTAACATGACTCACCCTGAAGCGTATGGATAACATCTGAGCGATCCCCCCGATTGACGCAGAACACCATTAGCGGTCGACTTTGATCCCATCTTCCCAATAATCAAAACACAAAGACAACCAAATCAGGATTAATGTAGAAACCAAATGCAAATCATCAAAATTTCCCAACTTAGATACCACAAATACAAGTAGAAATGCAATTGATTCTACTAGCCCAAGATACCCTAGAACTAGATGGTATCTTTCATCAACCAAACTGAAATTGAATCCATTAACAAACAGGTAACAAAGCTAGAATTACATACTCAGATGCAAATTATCCAAATTTTCACAACTTACAAACAAAAACTACTCTTCGGAATTATAAAAAAAAGCGCACGAAACCCTAGGTCTAGAAGGGGCCAAAGTATATCGTAACTTTAACATTCCGATTTGAAAACCTCCAACTGAGTCCACATCGCAGCAAATAATTTCCAGTGATAGAAAGAAAGGAACGAAGCACTAACCTCGTCGTCGATGTAGAGAAAACTTCTGAAGAACGATGTCGAGATTATAATGGGTATGTTCCGTATATGCATCATCATCATCATCATCAGCATCATTTAAGTCTAAAACTGAGAGATGAAAAGGTTTAGGCTTTAACATATTTTCGGCCCATCTTTCGGCCCATTTAGTTATTGGTTGGTCAGACAAGGTTTTTGAATTTTATTTAGAGAGCCGCCGTTTCGAAGCTCTAGCACGCCATCCAAATTAAAATCAAATCAATGGAGGAAGAAGCGAGAGAAGTGGCGGTGATCGACAAGGATCTGGAGAAGAAGATAAAAGAGACAGTCAACAAGATCTTGAAACGGTCGAGCTTGTATCAGATCACAGAGCTTAAGGCGCGTGAAAAAGCTTCCTCTAAGTTGGATCTCGACCTTTCGCAGGATCCGTACAAGCTCGTCGTCAGAGAAGCCGTCGAGAGTTTCCTCGAGAAGGCGGTGAAGACAATCGAGAGTCAGATTCAAAAGCAGCATACTCAGATTGTTCAAGACGTCCAGAAATCGACCAAGAAGAAGAAGAAGAAGAAGACCAACAAGGAGGAAGACTCTTCTACTACTTAGATAAATTTCTCTATCTAATGGCTTTATGTGTTTCCGTTTGTGTAATTTTTGTTTGATTTCAACGATGATGATATCTGTAATTGTTCATTGAAGAAACTTAAATCAAGTGTTACCAAATTGAAATCTCATGTTTGTTACATACAGTATTAATTATTGGGAATCTAAGCTTATTATATACAGTATTAATTATTGGGAATCTATTCGTCTATTTTGCAATTATCCCTTTTTGGTACGCAAATGATTATGACATTTTCATTTCTTTCTTGGTCGAGATTTTACATTTTCATTTCTCACATATTCATGGACTCAAATAAATCCACAATATTTTGTTGCAGCTCGCGGCTGCTCGTCAACAGGTAACTGAAGATGACTTAAAGTTTTGCAAATTTTTTTTATGTGTATGTTTCTTTGGTTTTTGCCATAGGTTCAAGCTCATATTGCGAAACTCAGACGACAAACAAATAGGTTTGCTTGAGGGGCAGAATCAGACCATCAAGACAGGGTCTGACCTTGAATTTGAATCTGAATCTGTTAGCCACATCTTCCATGTGAGTGTGGGATTGGCTTTGTTGTAACATAACTTTGTATTAGCTTTAGAGTTTTTTTGTTTTTGTTTTTTACCATATCTCTTTCTTATCATTTTCTTGTATTGATATTTGATAAACATTAGTTGAAATATCTTTGAAGGAAATTCACACGCACACACTTATAACGTTCGATACAATGATTAAAGATTCTCATTCAACTCCGGAGCTTAACCAAACCGGTGTCCGGTCTATAGTAACCGGTTTTTGGGACTGAAAAGTAAAAGACTTACCGTGAAATTGTGTTTGAGATGAAAAAAGAGAGAGCGATTGAGCTATTTTTAGAAAGCAAAAAAAAAAAATGTTAATAGAGAAAGAAATGAATTGGCATAACCCTCAGGAGAGTTTTATTTATAGCCGAGACATTCTAAATGTTCGTAAGATGTACTGTATAATTTAATTTAGCAATAATAGAACCAATTATTAAATAATAAACAAGGTAAAAATATCTGACACGATCTTTGTGTGGAATGGTCGTGATCGTACCTTAGAATACATAAATGAATTCCAAATTTTCTTTCTCAAATGATTTGATACCATTTTTCTTCTCTTACAATTACAAATAAAATTACATATTCCTTCCATTTTGAATTACTTGTCTTTATGAGTTTTTTTTTTTTTCGTTTTACTTGTCGTTTTGTACTTTCAATGTACATTTTTATGATACATTTTCCAGTTTTGGTTTATTAATTTGAAGGACTAAATGGCTTATTTGGATACACAAATAGAAATGTGTTTCTTTATTTAAACTTGTTCAACGCAACAGTATACAATATACTATTTTCAAATTACAACTGAAAACTCCATTAGGGCCAATTGAGGTTAAATGTTTACGGGCAATAGACGGTTTTCGCCATGGAAGAGATCGGTGGTTGACTCAGTTATTGGAGTTTTCTTATGCAGAATGTCTTCGATCACCTTTCAAGGTATAATATTGGTTGCCTTAAGAAATGAACATGTCAAAAGAGTACCAAAACATAAAATATAATCCATGGTGTTTTTATTGTGCAGTTCTGCATTCATGTCTCTTGCCGCGCGATTCCCTCCAAAATCAAGAATCAACCGAGAATATTAATAGAATAGTAGAAGTGTAGTTGTTGAAGATCCATAAGGATGCATTATGATCTTAAATGACTCCCCTAAGTGGCAGAAAAATGGTCAACATCCTTCTGACACACAAGTTTTTGGGTTAATAGCGGATCAAAAGAGTAACAAAAGGACTTCGTTTCAAACTCTGGAATCGAAAGATTTAATTTCTTCGGGAACAGTAGCCAGAATGTAGAAGAGGAAGTATTAACATCACGAGATTCTTTTGATCCTGCGGTATTTCAATCATGCGGAATAGTTGGATCCTGTTCAAGTTCTAAATTAGACGCAGAGTTTCCTACAACCATGCGTGAAACAAAAACTGTCGGTGGATCAGCACAATCAGTTTGATATGATCGTTACGATAAACTCAGATTGCTGTTGTATGCATTATGTACCCAAACAAGCCATTTAGTCCTTGCACATCAAATGCTTAAAAAAAATAAAATGATACTGTATAGAATGTTGTAATTTTGCATCAAAGAACCTAAAGTATGTGAGAAACCGTGACAGCAACAAAGTCTTGTCCTTTGCACATCCATGTCTTTAATGCTTACACTGAAACCACATGAACACTTTGTGGTCGTTAGTACAAATTTAATACTGTATGTAATAAACTTAAGTCAAGTGTTACCAAATTGAAACCTCATGTTTGTTACATACAGTATTAATTATTGAGAATCTAAGCTTATTACATACAGTATTAATTATTGGGAATCTATTCGTGTATTTTGCAATTTTCCCTTCGTTAGTACAAATTTAATACAGTATGTAATAAACTTAAGTCAAGTGTTACCAAATTGAAACCTCATGTTTGTTACATACAGTATTAATTATTGAGAATCTAAGCTTTATTACATACAGTATTAATTATTGGGAATCTATTCGTGTATTTTGCAATTTTCCCTTCTTGGTACGATAATGATTATGACATTTTCATTTCTTTCTTGGTCGAGATTTTGACATTTTGGCAATTAAGAGAGACAATTGGAAGATTTATTGTCAAGATTGTGATGGACTTAATTAACCACGTTGCTTGCACTGAAACCACATGAACACTTTGTGGTAGTTAGTACAAAATTCTCACATATTCATGGACTCAAATAAATCCACACTATTTTTACAAATTGTCATATTCCTCAGTAGTCTTCATCATAAGAAGAATACAAATCGAGGCAAAAATATTTTAGATAAGAGTAAGGTTTAACACCACACAAGATTTCTTGTTTTCTTCTTATAATAGACACAAACACATTCAAAGAACAATTAGTAAGAAAATTATTATTGCGAAATGGGTTGTACATCGTCTAAGCAAGTGAAAGCCAACGTAGTCGCCGACGTTTACAAACCACCGCCGTCGAGTTTCGCTGTGTTTGATATCAACGCCATCGAAGAGCCGTGGCTAAAACTCGAGCCAGAAGATAATGATGTAAAACCGGCACGCGCAATCTCCGTCTTCGACAGTCTCGACGAAGACGATGACGATGATGATAAGGCTCCTAAAACATGGGATGAGGTCAGCAAAACTATAGAAACACGCCTTAAACCAGCCGCCGTTAGACAGCCGGAAGTGGTTCCTCCGGCGACTCCTCCACGTCGGCTTCCGAGGAAGAGCGCATCGTTTCACACGCTGGACGACCTCGAGTCAAGGGCGAGAAAAGACATGGCCGCGCAAAACCAGAGGACGACGAGAGTCACGCTTAAGAAAACAGAGTCGATGTCCGAGTTGAGACCCGAGTTCACTCGGACTGAGTCAGCTCGGACCGAGTCGACCCAGTCCCGCTCCGTGAAGGAGAACATATTCGTGTTGAGAGACAGAGAGCGGAGGGAGAGAGAAGGGAACAAGAAGCCGGTGATGAACTGGGACCCGCTGAGGGAGTTCCCGGAGAAGTGTCCTCCCGGAGGAGGCGACGGACTTGTGGTGTACACGACGTCGTTGCAAGGAGTGCGTCGCACGTACGAGGACTGCATGAGCGTGAGAGCGATCATGGAGCAGCAAGGAGTGGTGATGGACGAGAGAGACGTGGCTCTAGACGCAGGAGTGTTGAGCGAGCTCAAGGAGCTTCTCCAAGACGAAGCGACCGTGGCGCCGCCGAGAGTGTTCGTGAAAGGGAGGTATCTGGGAGGAGCGGCGGAAGTGACGGCGATGAACGAGAACGGGAAGTTGGGGAGAGTGTTGAGGTGGGCACGTGTGGAGAGAGTAGGGGAAGAAGGGAGGCACACGTGTGAAGGGTGTGGAGGAGCACGGTGGTTGCCTTGTTTCGATTGCGGCGGTAGCTGTAAGGTTGCGGCGGCGGCGAAGGGAGAGAAACGGGAGAGATGTGGCAAGTGTAATGAGAATGGTTTGATACGTTGTCCAGTTTGTTTCGTTCATTAAGATGATTGAACACACACACAAAATCAATACAATACTTTACATTTGGATGTGACAAGCTTGATTATATCTTGTAATGGAATGTTAAAAAAATAAAACTAATTCTTGCAAGGTCTCTCATTTCGCATTACAAAAGAGCAATTCACAAAGAAAGATACACAGAAACAGAACCAAATAGACAGAATTTAACTTTGGTAACATACATGACACACAAATGTTGATGGTACTCTCTTCAGTTGTACTTTCGCTTCTTGATCTTGAAGGAAGAAGATCGGATAATGTCGTCATCAGCGGTGAGAACGGTCTCGAGGGGAGTGATTGATTCGGGTTTGGTGAAGTAAGTGAAGAGAAGGTAGATCCCATCCAAGTAAGTGTTTGTCTCTCCAGCTTTGTTCTTCTTTCTGATGCTGTAAGCCAACGGTATCACTCCTCTGTTGAACACTTCCACATACATTCCACCTCCTGCCACAAGCAACTGCCCAAACACAACACACCATTGGCTCGTTTCACGCATCATATATCATTTAAATATTTCGAGAATTGAGTAAACAGACACAAGATGCTACTTTTAGTCAGCTCTTACTTATACAATCAAAGAAAGTTTCAACATTTGGTCTGAAAATTGGCAAATTGCATATACGATTAGTTTCTATTGATCTTTGAATCCCAAAACCTCGCTCTATCCTCTAAATTCCATAAATTAGCAAAAAAAAATTCGAAGTCTTTTTAATTTACCTCTTCATATTTCTGGGTGAGACCAAGCCGTTCATCTTCAGACATGTCCGGTCTCAAGACGGCCATTGTTTCGTACTGTCTGAGCCCAGGTGGGCACTGAGGTTCAGGTTTGTCCTCAAGAGCAGTTGCGACGCCCGACCCGGAAGGAGAATTCGGGTCATCGTCGGACCCGAATCCACCTTCGAAGAAAGTGCCGGAGAAATCGAGAGCCTGAGATTTCACCACGAATCCAGAATTCTCTCTCTTATGTTGCTGATGTAGCGAGGCGATGGGTTTCGACTTGGAAATGAATGGCCTGAGGGAATGGGAGAAAGAGAGGAGTGGCTGCGACGAAGAATTAGGGAGAGAGTGAGGGCAAATCGGAGAATTCGATAGGCATAGCGAAGACGCCACCATTGTTGTTACGTGAGTGAGATTGAGAGCGCAAGTAAACACAGCAGAGAGGCGATGGTTAATTTGGATAAGAGATGAAGATGATGTGCTCACGTTAAGTTAGAAATGCTAACGTACACTATGGGCCTTAAAGATTATTCGGCCCGTTAATAAAGGCCTATAAACTTAAAAGTCATGTTATTGTTTCTCTCTCTCTCTATATCTCTTTGTTTCTTTGCAATCAAGCCAGTTCGGAAAAAAACAAATCGTCTCGCCGGAGAAGAAACCTTGAAGCCATGGATCCGCAGCTCACAGAAGTTTCGCAGCAGTTCGAGAGATTCAAGGCGGCGTTTGTGAGGAAGGATTACAGTAGCTGCAGTGATCTGTTGTCAAAGCTTAAGGTATCTACCTATTTCGATTCGATTTCGCTTTTGAGTATATGTTTAGTTGACGGGAAATCGATTGTTCAAATCTGCGAGAGCTTCGATTTGCTGAAAGAGAGAACTTAGCTTATCAGTGTGTTCAGGATCTCTTAATTCAGAGCTACGAAAATTTACTTTCTACTCTACGAGATTGGTTTTTGGGAGCAGAAACTTCGGGATTGGTTTTGAGATTGAAATTGACTGGTGAGAATTTTCTGATTTTCGTTGTGTTGTTCAGGTTCTTCTGACGAAATTCTCGAGTCTTCCTCCATTGTTTGAGAGTACACCAAATGCAGCTCAGGAGCTGACGATTGCAAGTGAGTTTCTGCTTTATCCATTGGCTCTTACATGAGTTATGCTAGTGAAGTATATAGCATGGAGTATTAATCTTCTCATCACCGCATAGCGTATTTAGTTGATTTTGGTTTATATCTCTGAAGATCTCAAAATCTGATGAAATGTGTCTATAGACGACTTGAATTGGTAGATTGCTCACTACTGTAAAACTGTTTACTAAGTCTAGTTTAATTGTTAAAATGCTGCATTAATTTGCTTTCTGATGGAATGCATGATTTGGATTGTTCTTATGGGTTTATCAACTTCTTTAAAATTGATGATTTGGAAACTGTAGGGGACATTTATGAGCACGCTGTTGTTCTAAGCGTAAAAACTGAGGATCAAGATGCCTTTGAGAGAGATTTCTTCCAGTTGAAACCCTACTATGTGGATGCCAGGTGAACAAATAACCCACTATCCTTTTCACATTTGTATGCAATGTTCCCTTTGTTGTTCTAACATTCCTTTACTCTGCATCAGGAACCGTCTTCCCCAATCTCCACAGGAGCATCTAATCCTGGGTCTGAACCTTCTGAGGCTGCTTGTACAGAACAGAATCGCTGAATTCCACACCGAGCTCGAGCTACTCTCGTCAGCTACACTGGAGAATCCTTGCATCAAGCATGCGGTAGAGCTTGAGCAGTCCTTCATGGAAGGTGCCTACAACCGTGTGTTGAGTGCTAGGCAGACCGCGCCCGATGCAACCTACGTCTATTTCATGGACCTCTTGGCAAAGACCATTAGGTAAAAACATCAGTGAGTCTATCAGTCTCTGAATTAGTTTCAGTCTCATGCCTTCTCACCTTTTTTTATTGTTTTCACAGAGATGAAATAGCTGGATGCAGCGAGAAAGCCTATGATTATGTCTCTATCAGCGATGCCAAACAGATGTTGCTCTTCTCTTCTGATCAAGAACTCTTAACCTATGTCAAAGAGGTAAAAAAGATGAAACATTTTCTCTGCAAAGTCTTGGAATCTTTTATTTTGTTTTGATCAACCTTTGACTTGACGTAATTTCGGTTTTTATCAAATCTTTGTAGGAGCACTCCGAGTGGGAAGTGAAGGACGGGCTTGTTGTGTTCCAGAAGGTTAAAGAAACTGCACCTTGCAAAGAGATTCCGTCTCTGCAACTCATCAACCAGACTCTAAGCTACGCCAGAGAGCTTGAGCGCATCGTGTAAGATCGATTCAGACTTTTCTCATTGCTTGCTTTGCTCGTCTCTTCCTTCCGTTTTGTTCCTGGGAATCTCCAGGACTTAAAAAACTTTATTATCATGTAATGACTGATTTCGAGCGATTTGGTTAGTTGAATTTGGCGAATAAGAGTCACTTGTTACGTTATCTTCTCTTGTTCAGTCTTCACTCCTTATCAAATTGGTTCTCTCTCTCCTCCTCTCTTTGATCCTTTCTTATGATGTTCTTGATTTTGTGTTCAAAGCTAGGCTTAGGCATTCGGTTTGGTTCGTTTTATGGTGAATTTTTTTAGCTCAATTTGCTATGGTTTAGTTTTGTGGATTTAAGGTAGAGTAGCTGGGGCTTTGTGTAGCCAATTTTTGAGTCCTAGGCCCAACATGCAATGATAAAGTTGGCCCGGACAAGGACAAAGAAATGTCTATCGCCAAACACTCTTATCAACTTGGGATACAACTTGAAAACAAGTGGGGATTACGTTGCAAGCATTTCTTCTATTTTGGGGTTAAACAATTGATTAACAAGTAATTTTATAATTAGAAGAGGAAAGAATACTCGCGATTCGATATCTTTTTTATTCTTCTTAAATTAATCAGATTTAGTAAGACTCCTCCCCACTACAATGACATAATACTATTAACAAAATAATTTTTTGACCATCGTGAATTGCAAAAAGGGCTTGAGTAATGATCCACTTTGGGTAAGCAGTTGAAAGTGGCTGAGTGGTTTTCTAGCTTTTTACTATTAGTTTTTCCAAAGAGAGATTCCTTTTAACAATGAGTCCATCTGAGTTCTAAAATATGATACTTTGCTTGTTTTCTTTACGTCAATTTTTGATCTGTTTATAATAATTTTATGCTAAGAACATCATTAGTATCGAATTAATTATATGAGTCGTTGTTATTCTACTCACCCGCAACAAGCACTTAGTGCCTAATTACGTCTTAATTTATATATTTCGTAAACCTTTTAGGCTCTTAAAATAAGCCTATTAGACAACTTCTTGGTGCTGGACATGTAAGAAACGTCTAAGCATATACTAGAACATGATATATTAAAAATTTAAATGTGATTCTAAGCTTTGATATGTAATCGTCTCGGTCATAAACAATGCATTTTACAAAAAAAAAAAGTTGCATCAAAGAATTTGAAATGAATGGGTTGTTGTATTCAAACAATATAATCCAAACCTTATATGTATCGAGTTTTGTCAAGCCAATTCAAGAGATGGTCAATCAGTATCATTTTTAGAAACTTCCACCATTAATGTTAAATTAGCCAATGTTCCATTGTTCCCTCTAAATTTTAGTAAAAAAATACAAATGCGATGCTTTTTTTGTGTCTCACAAAATATTCAAGAAAATATAAATATAAAATTTGCATGAATGGAAGATATTCTAGTGGTTGGGGTAAAATGGTACAGCGTGGAATCAAATGTCTTTGGTATTTTAAAATTTTAAATATTCCCAACTTGTCCTCTCCTCTTCTTATGCTTCCTCTCTCTCTGTGTTAAGAGGTTGAAGAAGGCTTTGAAGCTGAAGAAGATTTTTTAAATTTTTCCTCGGAGACGACGAAAGTCCGGCGAAACTTCAATATACATTCCTACTTCTCAGACGAGATTTTTCGTCTCGTCCTACGTCGCTGCTGCTGTTTATGGAACTTGACGATTTGGATCTCGGCTGTTCCTGGCCGTTGGATCAGATCACTTTCGCTTCAAATTTCAGGTCTCCTGTCATTTTCTCCTCTTCCGAACAGCCTTTCTCTCCTCTCTGGTCCTTCTCCGAAGCTGCCTCCATCTCCGGAGATGCCGCCGGCGAACTTTCCTCCCCCGCCGGAGCTCCTCCTCCCACTCGCTTCCCGGATTATTCCGTTTTACTTTCAAGTAAGTCTCGATTCTCTCTCTCTCTCTCCGCGCAACTTTAGATTCTAGAATCCAATTCGGATAATGTAGTGGATATGCCAGTAGGAATCAAACGGATCGGATTTGTTTTCCATTTGCTGAATCTCTTATCGAACTTCAACGAATTGAGATTGCATTGTTGTAGCTCTAGATAGTGAGAATTTCGATTTGGAATTGATAGAATCAGGCGAAATGCAGGTTCGGAATCTGAAACCAACAAGGACAATAGTCAGATTCCATCTCCGTCATGGGGTATAATGCCTTCGGAGAATCCAGATAGTCACTGCTTGATCAAAGCGAAGATGACTCAAGCGCTAAGATACTTCAAAGAATCAACTGAGCAACAACAGCAACACGTTCTCGCACAGGTTTGGGCGCCTGTGAAAAGCCGAGGACGATATGTGCTTACAACTTCAGGGCAGCCATTTGTTCTTGGCCCCAATAGTAACGGCCTTAACCAGTACCGGATGGTTTCCCTGACGTATATGTTCTCCGTTGATAGTGAACGGGACGGAGAGCTCGGGCTTCCCGGCCGCGTTTTCAGGAAAAAGTTACCTGAATGGACTCCGAATGTTCAGTATTACTCGAGCAAAGAGTTCTCAAGGCTTGGCCATGCGTTGCACTATAATGTTCAGGGGACGTTGGCTTTGCCTGTGTTTGAACCAACTAGGCAGCTCTGTGTTGGTGTTGTTGAGCTTATTATGACTTCTCCCAAGATTAACTATGCACCTGAGGTTGAAAAAGTTTGTAAAGCTCTCGAGGTTTGTTTTGGTTTTGTTTCTCTTTTAGTTGGTTCTTATTAGTTTCCTGTGAGATTAATGTTTTCTAGTTTATTCTGTTGCAGGCAGTGAATCTGAAAACATCGGAGATATTGAACCACGAGTCGACTCAGGTTATCTGCGACCCCAAATGTCAAAATCTCGAGTATTCTTTCAGAAACTTTCAAGAACTGTCTTGAGTTTCGTTGAAGGCTGTTTATTGTTCCTTCTCGTTTTAATCTTATGACTTCTCCTATTTACCAGATCTGTAACGAGGGTCGACAAAACGCATTGGCTGAGATTTTGGAGATACTGACTGTGGTGTGCGAGACCTACAAGCTGCCTCTAGCTCAGACATGGGTACCTTGCAGGCACCGTAGTGTTCTAGCCTTTGGAGGTGGTTTCAAGAAAAGCTGTTCGAGCTTCGACGGGAGCTGTATGGGGAAAGTCTGTATGTCCACGAGTGATTTAGCTGTTTATGTTGTGGACGCTCATGTTTGGGGTTTCAGAGACGCTTGCGCTGAACACCATCTGCAGAAGGGACAAGGTGTTGCTGGGAGGGCGTTTCAGTCTGGAAATCTCTGTTTCTGTAGAGACGTGACTCGCTTCTGCAAAACCGATTACCCGTTAGTACACTACGCGCGCATGTTCAAGCTCACTAGCTGCTTCGCGGTTTGCTTGAAGAGCGCGTATACAGGAGACGATGAGTACGTTCTTGAATTCTTTCTTCCTCCGGCCGTCACAGAGAAGAGCGAGCAAGATCATCTGTTGGGGTCTCTGTTTCAGACGATGAAGCAGCACTATTCGAGTCTCAAGGTTGTCTCTGGAACTGAACTCTGTGAGAATGAGATCTCTATTGAAGTCGTGGAAGCTTCAGAGGACGGAATGGTTTACTCAAAACTCGAACCGATCCAAATCCATCATCAAGCAACAACAATCTCTAAGGAGTATCTTCAGCTCAATGCACCTGAACAGAAGCTGATCTTAAACCCAGACCTTATGGAGAACAACGAGGTTGCTGACACGCTTGATCCTTCACCGGAGGCGAAACCAGGGAAGAAATCAGAAAGAAAGCGAGGGAAAACAGAGAAAACAATCAGTCTAGAAGTGCTTCAGCAGTATTTTGCTGGTAGTCTTAAAGATGCAGCCAAGAGCCTCGGTGGTATGTTCTTTTTTCAACTTTGTCTACTAATTGTAACTGTTGATGATAACAAAACTCAAACACAAACACAAACACTTGTGCTCTTTTTTTACAGTTTGTCCAACTACAATGAAACGCATTTGCCGGCAACACGGGATCTCACGGTGGCCATCGCGTAAGATCAACAAAGTGAACCGATCTCTCACGAGGCTCAAACATGTGATAGACTCTGTTCAAGGCGGTGATGGATCAATCAATCTAACGTCTCTCTCCTCTCGCCCTTGGCCTCACCACCAAGCCTCTCCAATCGAAAACCAACCACCACCACCAGCCACTAGATCGCCAACAAGCTATCTCCAAGATATCAAGCTCGAAAACCGCGATGCAGAGGACAGTGCAGGTTCATCAACATCGCGTGCTTCTTCCAAAGGTAAAGTAAAGTAAAGTAAAGCCTTCCGTCATCATCATCATCATTGCCATTGTTCTCTTATCTGTCTTTTGTTTCACAGTGAGTCCTATCTGCGAGACGCGTTTTCGGCTTCTACCGCAAAGCCAAGAAGCATTCAAGCAAACGGCCTTGGATGATTCAGACAGTACCTCTAAAAAAAACATAAACAATCTTTGGACATTTCAAGAAACAGCTTCTCCGACAATACTCCAAAGTAAGCTCGTGAGTATAAAGGCAACGTACAGAGAAGACATCATCAGGTTCAAGATCTCACCAGAGTCGGTAAGCATTGTAGAGCTGAAGCAGCAAGTGGCTAAGAGGCTGAAACTCGAAACGGCGGCGTTTGAGCTCAAGTATCTAGACGACGACAACGAATGGGTCTCGGTCTCGTGCGATGCTGACCTCAGCGAGTGTCTCCACGACACGACATCTGTTGCAACCGCAGCGAAAGCGAGCACACTGAGGCTATCGGTTCATGATGTGATTCCAAACTTTGGGAGCTCATGCGAAAGCTCAGAGGAAAATATGATGTGTTTGTGATAATGCATTTTCACTTGTATGATCTGAAGAGTTTTGTTTTTTTTTTCTTCCTTAGAAGAGGAGTTTTTAGTGTTGAATTTTAAAATGTATAAAAGAACACTTCTCCACATCAATAGATGTTGATTGGAATAAATTAAATAAACTTTATTCCCCTTTATAACATTTATGGACATTAACCAAACTTCCTCTTTTTGTTTGTTGTTGTAATTTGTTACTAACAAAACAAATTGAATACTCCTTTTTATTGAAAAAACTACTAATCTTAGACATGGCTATAACTAAGTCGTCTAAAAGTCTAATTAGGCAATTTTATCCCAAATTTACAGTACTTAACATGACACCTAATGAAATTATTACCCAAAACAAGAAAAACATAAATATATTAACAGCGCGTAGCATGGTACTTAAATGATTTAATTTAATATCACATATTAAGAAAGCTTAGATCCATATGCATGTATACGTAACTTTTTTTCTTTTACATGCAATTTTAACCTTCCCAAAAGCTTAGCCTATGAGGCTATGACACCATATATAGATGTAATTTTACACGTAGTACGTAAAACTTATTTGTAACAACAGTAGACTTGATGAAGCTCATTATCACATCATAATTAAGGTCTTCCTTTCCCTGGTTCATGATCTTGATTGGCTCCGGTTCTTGCATAGTCAAGATGAAACTCCACAAGCTCTCTCTCCTTCATTTCATTACCCTCCTCAATACCCTATTTTATTCAAAACGTTCTTAACCCGATGTTAAAACTTACTGGATAGCTATTAATATGGAACGAAATTTGTTTGATTTACCTAACACTCACACAGCGCAACACACAACGTATGAATCAAAATCACCTTAAAACGGAAAAGAAAGACAAATTACCTTATTCGATCCGAGAATCATGAAATGGCGAAGGGTAGCGTCTGAAACATCAGTGGAGGTGATTGCGAGAACAAGAAGAATGAGAATTGCTAGCCTTTTCTCATTATATCTCATTTTTTTTTTGTCTCCCTTAAACAATTTAAGACTTTCAAGACAAATACTGTGGGAGTATATAGAGACAAATGAGATGAGTTATATAGAAGTAAGGGGGTGGAGTGGAGACATATTAATGGCAAGTTGTTATTCGTTTTGGAAACACAATCAAAAGCTATATATATTAATCTTATTAAATCTTGTTTATACAAAATAAATGAGAAACAACATTATCAAAGTCAACTACATGCACTATGGAGTATGGACCCTCTTTAGCCCTCTTCATCATGTATTTCAATTTGCTTTATAGTTTTTTGCTCCTAACTTAACAAAACCCATATGAAAGTGTTTATAAATGGTATTATTGGTATACATTGCATGTAAATATATTGATTAAATGGATAGGTAAATTAATTGGAAACATACGATCGTAATGTATTTTATTTTTGGTATTAGATATATGCTGATCAGGTTAGTGGGGGTGACAGTCATCTATCGTAATAATGAAGAAGAGCAGCACCGTAAATTGATATATTCCTAATAAAACTTTAGCGATCCATATCTCTTTCAAAACCTTTACCAAACCCATAAAACCTAAATATTCGTTTTTTTCTGTACCCACAAGCACTCATCACATATGCTACAATTTCTTAAAGCAAATACTATATCAGTGATTTTATTCTAAAATGATTCGATCTTATCAATTGAAAATGAGGATGAATATTGGCCAACAATGTGGTTATTAAAATATAATTGGGCCATAAAACTCATTCTATTTGAGCCAACGAAATAAGGAAATGCTAATGGAAAGAAGCCCATCATCTTTAAAAACGGACGGACGGTCAGGATTTATTCAACGCAAGATCAGAGATCTAATTGGCAGTGCGTTATACATGTCGCGATCTGATTGGCTTTCGTCGTCTAATATGACATGGGTTCTCTTTCTTCGCATCACATATTAATCATCGAGTACGTGTCACAGTCCAATTGGTTCACGTCCTGCAAGGTGACACGAGTTTTGTTTCCTCGCTTCTCATTTCATCAACAGCGCACGTGTCGAAATCTCATTGGACCACGTAGTGTAATATGACACGGGCTCCGTTTATTGGCATTCCATAATAAGCGAAGTCTCGTCACCGTAGCCTCCGGGCACTCTCAACCTTTATAAGGGACTCTCTTAACATAGAGAAACCAAAACGAACTTACTTCACAGAATAATCAAAAAAAACGAGAAGCATTTTGGAGATGGCACGCGATACGTTTGTGCTTGCGATCGTCTTCTTAGGTGAGTCATTCCACAGAATTTCCAGATCTGTAGCTTAATCTAATCATGCTTTTCTCAGATTAGATCTCGTCTTGCTTTTAGATTCATAGTGCATTCTGATAATGTATTCGATTCGTTTACATTGCTCGCTTGTTTTAGTATCATCTGGAGATTTCGATAGACGAAATTAGGATTGTGATTCGATCTGGTTTTTGATATTGAGTGTGTTTATTGACGACGATTTGGAATTATGATTGTTAGGATGTTTATTTGCGGTTTCGATTGCGAAAGAAGAGGCGACGAAGCTGGGATCAGTGATAGGAATAGATCTGGGAACGACTTACTCGTGTGTTGGTGTTTACAAGAATGGCCATGTTGAGATCATTGCCAATGACCAAGGAAACCGTATTACACCTTCCTGGGTTGGTTTCACTGACTCCGAGAGGCTCATTGGTGAAGCTGCGAAGAATCAGGCTGCTAATAACCCAGAGAGAACTGTCTTCGACGTCAAGAGATTGATCGGACGAAAGTAAGCACATTTTTGATTTTGCTCTCTGTGTTTTCTCTTTTTTTTTACATGGAATGTTTCATTGATGTTTTATGAAAAAACGAAATTGCAGATACGAGGACAAAGAGGTGCAGAAAGACATGAAACTTGTGCCTTACAAGATTGTGAACAAAGACGGCAAGCCATACATTCAAGTCAAGATCAAGGATGGTGAGACTAAGGTGTTCTCTCCCGAGGAGGTCAGTGCCATGATCCTGACTAAGATGAAGGAGACTGCTGAAGCATACCTTGGAAAGAAAATCAAGGATGCTGTTGTCACTGTTCCAGGTGAGCTTGGATTAACTTTGTGTGGTTACTTTTTCTTCATGTGTTGTTTGTTGATTTAGTCTCTTGTTGATTTGCTTCGGTGCAGCTTACTTCAATGATGCTCAGAGACAGGCCACAAAGGATGCTGGTGTGATCGCCGGGCTCAATGTTGCTAGAATCATCAACGAACCCACTGCTGCTGCTATTGCCTACGGTCTTGACAAGAAGGGTGGAGAGAAGAACATCCTTGTCTTTGACCTCGGTGGTGGTACTTTTGATGTCAGTGTCTTGACCATTGACAACGGAGTCTTTGAGGTTCTCTCTACAAATGGTGACACTCATTTGGGAGGTAAATGAAATTCATCACCTTTAACAACAACAAATGCATTTATTTATGTGGTCGTTGTTGTGAAATTGATTTGCTTGTTCAGGTGAGGACTTTGACCACAGAGTCATGGATTACTTCATCAAGCTGATCAAGAAGAAGCACCAAAAGGACATCAGCAAGGACAAGAAGGCTTTGGGTAAACTCAGAAGGGAATGTGAGAGAGCCAAGAGAGCACTTAGTAGCCAGCACCAAGTCCGTGTTGAGATCGAGTCCCTCTTTGACGGCGCTGATTTCTCCGAGCCACTCACCAGAGCCCGTTTCGAGGAGCTTAACAACGACTTGTTCAGAAAGACAATGGGACCAGTCAAGAAGGCCATGGATGACGCTGGTCTACAGAAGAGCCAGATCGATGAGATTGTCCTCGTCGGTGGAAGCACAAGAATCCCAAAGGTGCAACAGCTTTTGAAAGACTTCTTCGAAGGGAAAGAGCCGAACAAGGGTGTGAACCCCGACGAGGCCGTTGCTTACGGTGCCGCCGTTCAGGGAGGTATCTTGAGCGGAGAAGGTGGTGATGAAACCAAAGGTATGCTTCTCTGCTCTGCTTCTTCTTCTTCTTTAAAGCTTTGAATGTTTTGCGTCTCATTGTGTATTTGTGATTTCAGATATCCTTCTTCTGGACGTGGCGCCCCTTACTTTGGGTATCGAGACTGTCGGAGGAGTGATGACGAAGCTGATCCCGAGAAACACTGTGATTCCGACCAAGAAATCTCAGGTGTTCACGACATACCAAGACCAACAGACCACAGTCTCCATTCAGGTCTTTGAAGGTGAACGAAGTCTGACCAAAGACTGTAGGCTTCTCGGTAACTTCGACCTCACCGGACTCCCACCGGCGCCAAGAGGAACCCCTCAGATCGAAGTCACATTCGAAGTGGACGCCAACGGTATCCTCAACGTGAGAGCAGAGGACAAGGCCAGCGGCAAATCAGAGAAGATCACAATCACTAACGAGAAGGGACGTTTAAGCCAAGAAGAGATTGAGAAGATGGTTAAAGAGGCTGAGGAGTTTGCAGAGGAAGACAAGAAGGTGAAGGAGAGGATCGATGCGAGGAACGGCCTCGAGACTTACGTGTACAACATGAAGAACCAAGTGAGCGACAAGGACAAGCTCGCTGACAAACTGGAGGCTGACGACAAGGAGAAGATCGAGGCCGCGATCAAAGATGCTCTCGAGTTTCTTGATGAGAACCAGAATGCGGAGAAGACGGAGTACGATGAGAAGCTCAAGGAGGTCGAGGCTGTCTGTAATCCGATCATCACTGCGGTTTACCAGAAGTCTGGTGGTGCACCGGGAGGTGAATCAGCTGCCGCAGACGAGGACGATGAGAATCACGATGAGCTCTAAGAGGTCTAGACTCTTGAGATGTTGTTGATTTGTGACACCCCAAGTGGTGGAAAAAAAGAGTAGAGAGAGTGACATTTTTAGATGTTTATTAAAGTTTTGAGCTTCTTTCATTCAGAAGATAGCTGGTTTTTTCTTTTAATGTATTTTATCAAAGAATGTTCGAAAGATTTTTACAATAGGGGAAGTTTTTCTTTTTATTACCTTGAAATGGTTGTTAGTGTTATTTTTTGTTGGTCAAAACCTGAAGTAATTTAGATTGCCACACACAGAAAAAAGGTAGTTAAACAAAACCTTTGATTATTCTCTAACCTGATGTTCAAAAACTTGGACATAGTCAGACCATAACTTTTGGGATTCAACAAGAGCTAGACCTTTCTAGGACGAAAGAGAAATTTAAATTAGAAAAAATTGTGATCGTAAAATGTCATGAAATTACAATTTTCGACTCTGGCAATAAATTAAGTAAAACAAGCGAAAAACTTTAGCAAAAACAAATGAAAAAAAAAAGTTTTTGTGAAAAGGTTAGAATAAAATCTGTTTATAAAACTTGAAAGAACAAAAAGTGAGAGGCGCAACGTCAAGAAGAAGGATATCTGAAATCACAAATACGCAATGAGACACAACAACATTTTTTATATCTAAACACACAAAAGAAGCTAGCTAGTTAAGTTATACAAAACCTTTAAATAATCTCTACTCTGATGTGCAAAATCTTGGTCATAGTCAGACCATTTAAATTGTTGTAATACAACAAAGGGGAGCAAAACTATTGAGGAGGGATTCAACAAGGCCTAACGTTTCTTTAGATCTCGCAAGTAGTTACAATTGTATTCTTTAGTATTTTTTGTACAAGGCCCTTACTGAAATGAAATTCAAAGCAAAACTCTAAATTGACCCCTATGCACGGGTTGGCGAGTATCTCCACCTCCCTGTGCTTGGAGCAGAAGTAGGGCATTTCCGCGCTTTCAAACGTCATGATGCATCCGAACAACGAGCACCCGCGTCTCTCCAACATTTTCACAGGGTATCTAATGTTGTTGTTTTGCACACACGTCATAAAATTCTCCAAAACAAGGCTGAGACAAAAACAAAAAAATGTCCCTTTCAATAGTTTGCTGCTGGTCGGCGACTTGCTTTTTTGTTCTTTCCTTTTTTCACCCTAGGCCATTTACTTTCCGCTTGGTAATATTGTAATTAAACAAATATGGAAGAGGTTGGTTAAGAATGCGTTAAGATACATTTAACTTTTCTAAAGACATGTATCTGTGTGTAGATATGACGAAGATGCTAATCAAATAGCATGAATTGCATTGCAAATATACCAAAAAATTGAACAAACCTCTGATTTTCTTACCCTGTATTCTGATCGTAGACACTAGACAGTAGACACTATGAAATACAATATCAGAGCATCGTCAATAGTAGTACACTAGACATTGTTGGGAACTTTGGTTTTTCGGTTTGTTCGGGTTCGGGAATACATTCCCGGATTGAACCGATTAAATAGTTCAGGTTGGTTCCTCCTTGTGAGGGAAAATTGATCTTTTTTTTTCTTGGATAGTATATTCGGTTCGGTTATCTTGGTTTTGTTGAATTTTATTGATTACTGTTTTTGTATGATAAATCTAGAGGCTAGAGTAGTGATCCACAAGTTATTATAATCTTAGGATATTCATTACAGAAAAGGAAAGAGTACTTGAGAATTATTGCTTGTCACAAGTCATAAAATTCTCCATAATAAGGCTGAGACAATCATAAAACACTACTCTTAATTTCAGAAAACATAAGCATTATGCAATAAATTTGTGACATTACGACTTTAGTATGAAGCATTTGGATGGACGAGACTAGAGAGAGATCATATAAACTGGATGTTACATTTGGATGAAGCTCTATGAAGAGTCATTAGATTGGCTTGCAGATTGTTGTTGTTGTTGTTGTCCTCTTCAACACCAATTTTCACCGTCTCAAGACATTTCAAATTTCCTAAGAAATGCCTCATTTGTTCCAACTCTCTATAACTTCCTCCATACCCTGAAATCTCTAGCACCTTCACTCCACATGCCCATAAACAAGACGATTCTCTATCCTTCTTCTTGCTACTAATGCAACAGCATGCGTCTCCACATCTACTAGAAACTCTGTGCAAAAGACCCTGAAAGCATAGCAAACCAAATTTGACATGTATACATTAGATAGAGTGTGTTGCACGTTAATTTGTCAAAAGCTTTGAATAATAAACCTTTATAACAAGAGTTTGTAGATTTGGAGAGTTTTCTAACAGATAAGGCAATGATTGCCATCCTTGTTCCTTGTCGCTCTCAATAGATAGATGACGGAGGCCGTTGAACACAGGCATGGAATCACAGCAGAAGTGTAATGCCTGAAAGTTTTTGATAGTCACAATCAGAATTTAAACATATATAGAAAATGGAACAAATAGTAGCTTTCAAAACTTATACCTCAATAGAATAGGCAGATAGGTGAAGGGTCTTAACGTTTCTTATCCCAACAACAAGAATTGTAACATTGCCAAAAACATGATCAAAAACATGCTCTGAATCACCCTCAACTTCATAATCATAAATAGTAGTTGACTCCCACAACCGAAGATCAAGTCTAGCTTCAACAAGCGCTTCCATATCATCAATATAATAGCCTTGGGAGACAAGAGCAGAGTAGTCAAGACACACAAGACTCGGTGTCTTGATCAAAACATGTTCTTGATAAGCCCAGGTGTCATCAGGAACATGGAAACAAATCGTGAGTCGCTTGATGGACTCACTCGACACAGACCTCGTCCATGTTGGACGCCAGTCATCACCACCATCACGTATGAACAACTCCTCCAGCATTGGGCAGCCAGAGATGAGCCACGTGTAGAGTTCTGGATCAGCCACGAGTGCACCGAGAGAAAGTGTCCTGAGCGCTGGGAAATACACTGTGCCCTCATGAGGAACATCCCCTTCGAGTTCAATTCCATCGGATAGTGTGAGTTTAACTAGTTTGTTACCAGAGAGAATTTTTATATCCATAGAATGACCATACTTGCATTGCAAGTTTAGCTCCAAGCAGCCGCGTTGGAGTGCGGTGTGAATCCAACGGTTAACGAGAGATGTTTTATAATTGCCATTCACAGAGAGTCTCTTGATAGGAAGAGTGTTGAACAGAGCCACTGTTTTCTCCATGAAATCAGAGAAGGCATCACTTGAAGTTGCTGAGTCTTCCAAATCAAAGTTGTCTACAAGAAAGAGCAGATTCCTCCACCTCTTGGACAGAACAGATGTGGATACAGCAAGTTTTGTCGGAATCAACGACAAGATCTTGCCAAGAACCTCATCCGGCAAACTGCTGATCAAGTCTCCATAATCCATAGAGTCAGGCTTTAAAATCCGCCTGCAAATATAGTTTTAAAATCCCAAATAATATAACACAAGGACAAAACGAGAGGTCGAATGAAGAATATATATTAAACTTATATAGAAACTTTTTTAAAAATAGCAAAAGTCAGTTCCCGTCTTCCCGATTTAGAAACTTTTGGACAAGTTTGAAGGAGAACAATTACAAAGTAGGTTTATAAACTACTCTACGTAAGTTCGGATCTAGATCCACACAAAAATGGACAAACTAAAACTTACAAGTAATCTTTGTACGACGGATGTGAAAGCAGGATCGCTCTGACAGAAAGATGGAAGCATCAGGAGAGAGGACAATGATTTGGGTTCAACAAGTGGTCGTAAGCCTTTTCTCTCAAGGAAAGACAAGTGGTCGTAACTCGTATAACTTTTTTTTCTCAAGATAAGACAAGTGGTCCTTTCCACCAAGAGAATAATTTAGTATCTATCTACTATAGATTATCCTTTTTCACGATTAACAGTTTCATTTTAGATTATGTTTCATCTAGAAAAAAACATAAGAATATATATATATATATATATATATATTTTACCAAGGGTTTCATAAGATTGTATTTGTTTCATTTGATGGGTTCAATTCTTCCAAATCTCTCATTTATTTATTTAAATTTAAATATTGTTTAATTAAATAAGAAATAAATGTAACTGCTATTTTTAATAAATGTTACACTAAAAAGGTACTATTATCTTTTAAATTTCTGTAAATCTTGGCTGTCTAGTGTATTGAAGATATCTCTCTTTTTGACAAAAAAAGACCAAAAAAATTCTCTCTTTGTATATATAAAACTTATATAAGGCAAAAGATATTTGAAATAATTCATTCAATTTTCTAAGTACACAAAAAGGTCCAAGTCTTTAAGACATGGATGTTTTGAACCAGAATCTTTGTTTAGTAGATTAAGAGCTTTTTAGACGCTTCGATCTTCCTTCTTTCACATCCATCATTCTTGTTCTATAGTAAGTTTTATTTTATTCATTTTTTCGATCCCGAGTCAAGTAGAGATACATATAGAGACATAGATATTGGTAACTGAATTTTGCTTTACATTTAGAGAGTTTGTTTGATAAAAAAAGGTGATGAAATGTCATTTCCAACGGAAAGTTTTACTTTTTCTTTTCTTTTCATTTTCATATATTGCTCTAGATATTTTTTAAGTCTCTCCTTACGTCATCTTGTCTGAATATATTTTTATAGATTCGGACATATATAACTGATGTTTTTATGGATTATTTGTGGTTTTAAAACTCTGAAAGAAAGGGTTAGTTGGAGCCTGACTCTATGGATTGTGGAGACTTGATAAGCAATTTGCCGGATGATATTCTTGGCAAAGTCCTGTCTTTACTTCCGACAAAACTTGCTGTATCCACATCTGTTCTGTCCAAGAGATGGAGGAATCTGTTCCTTCTTGTAGACAACTTTGATGTGGAGGACTCAGCAACTTCAACTGGTGGTTTCACTGATTTCATGGAAAAAACAGTGGCTCTCTTCAACACTACTCGTCCCATCAAGAGACTCTCTCTGCATGGCGGAGGCTATGAAACATCTCTCGTTAACCGTTGGATTCAAAGTGCACTCGAACGCGGCTGCTTGGAGCTAAGCTTGCAACGCCATCCATATGAACATTCTATTGATATATCGATCTTCTCGAGCAACAGATTAGTAAAACTCACACTATCCGATCGAACTATCCTCGAAGGGGACGCTCCACCTAAGGGCACAGTGTATTTCCCAGCGCTCAGGACACTTTCTCTCGGTGAAATCGAGATTGATCCATTCCTGTACACGTGGCTCATCTCTGGCTCCCCAGGGCTGGAGGAGTTGTTCATACGTGATGCTGAGGATTACTGGGGCGCAACATGGAAGGGGTATGTCTTGAGTGACTCCATCAAGCGACTCACCATCTCTTTCCATGTTCCTGAAGACTCTTTTGCTTTTGGAGATGTAGCTGTGTTGGAGACACCGAGTCTTGTGTTTCTTGACTACTCTGCTCTGGTCTCCAAAGGCTATACCATTGATGATATGGACTCACTTGTTGAAGCTAGACTTGATCTTCGAACGTGGTCATTTTATTTTGGCGATGTTACAAATCTGGTTAATGCCATAAGAAACGTTAAGACCCTTCACCTATCTTCCTATACTCTTGAGGTAGCATAAGTTTTGCTACACTAATAAATATAATATATTGTTCCAATATTTGCTTGCTTTACAAGTTTTCTGATTGTGATTGATTAATGTATAAACAAATCAAGGCGTTACGCATGTGTTGTGATACCATGCCGGTGTTCTACCGTCTCCGGCATCTATCTTTTGAGAGCGACAAGGAAATAGGATGGCAATCATTGCCTCGTCTGTTAGAAAGCTCTCCAAATCTACAAACACTTGTTATAAAGGTTTATTCATTATTCAAACACACTTAAACCAATATTTTAATTTGTTTGCATGCAAATCTCTATCTATATATTATTATATATTTTTGTCAATAAATATGGTTTGCTATGCTTTCAGGGACTTTTGCACGAAGTTACTAGGAAATGTGGAAACGCATGTTGTTGCATTAGCAAGTTGAAATATAAAGAATCGTGTTGTTTATCGGCTTCTCGAGTGAGAGTGTTGGAGATTTCAGGGTATGGAGGAAGAATTAAAGAGTTGAAACAAATGAGGCATTTCTTGGGGAAAATGAAATATCTTGAAACGGTGAAAATTAGCGTTGAAGAGAAGAGCAAGAAGAAGAAGTACTTGCGAGCCAATATAATGTCTCTTCATAGAGCTTCATCTAAATGCAACATCCATTTCATATGATCTCTCTCTAGTCTCGTCTCGTCCATCCAAATGCTTCATACTAAAGTCGTAACAGTTTTTTCAAGATTCTAATGTCAAAGAGATTGATTTACAAACAGTTTAATCTTTTGTTGTTGTTGTTGTTAATTAAAATATGAGATTTGTGTTTTTATTTGTTAAATTTTGATTAGAGGTCTAGTAACCATAACCAACACCAAAATATTCTAACAGAACCATTCATTTATTTTCCTAAGTTGATAACAAAAATTTAGATTTCCAAAAACAAAATTAAAGGGTAACTAGTAAACCAAATATATGATTCCCTTGGTTTAAGAGGAGCAAAGTGAACCGGATCAAATCAGGTTTGGTTAAAGTCTTTTTTCTGTCTGAAAGAAACTCTCCGACGGAGCCAGAAGGTTCCAAGTCGATCCATTAAGCCCTAACAACAAGCTTCGCCCTCTCCGGCTGGTCCTGTGGAGAGATAACAGTTTCGAAATCTCGCCTCTTTCTGGGAAGAAATGACGGAAGTTGCGAGCTCTGTGGTGTTTGAAGTGCTCGGACGCAGAGCACAAGATGTGGACGAGCCCATCATGGACTACATCATCAATGTCCTCGCCGACGAGGATTTCGACTTCGGCGAGGAAGGCGAAGGCGCCTTAGACGCCGTCGGTGAGCTCCTCGTCGCTGCTGAAATCGTCTCCGATTTCGACGAGTGCCGTCAGGTAATCGATTCGTCGGAGACCCTTCCACTATAATACTTCATTTCTCTGCTATTCGTTAGGGTCTTTGTGTTGCTGAATTGATTTCAGAATTGGTCGATTTTGGATTATCTAGAAATGCATTATTTCTAATTTGGAATTTTGGATATTGGATTCTCTTCTAAAGGTTTGTAGCAAACTGTCGGATAAGTTTGGGAAGCATGGATTGGTGAAGGCAGCACCAACTGTGAGGAGTCTTGCGATGCCTGTGAGGATGAACGATGGAATGGACGACGGTCCAGTCAAGAAGAAGAAGCCTGAGCCCATTGATGGTCCTCTGCTCTCAGAGCGTGACAAGGCTAAGATCGAAAGGAGAAAGAAGAAGGATGATCGCCAAAGAGAGGTACATAATACAACTCTTCTTCTTGAGATTTTGTTCCATTTTGTTGGTGTCTCATTTACTGTTTGCTTTCTTGTTGTATGCAGGTACAATATCAACAGCATGTTGCTGAAATGGAAGCGGTCAAAGCAGGGATGCCTACTGTTAGTGTCAACCATGACGCTGGTGGTGGCTCAGCTATCAGAGATATTCATATGGATAACTTCAATGTCTCTGTTGGAGGCCGTGATCTCATTGTCGACGGATCTATCACTCTCTCTTTCGGACGCCACTATGGTTCGTTTGATGATCTTCATTTTTCTTAGCGCGCTGTTTAAATCCAAAGAAATATTGCTTACAAGTTGGAACTTTCTCTCTTACAGGGCTTGTAGGACGTAATGGTACCGGAAAGACAACGTTTTTGAGGTATATGGCTATGCATGCTATAGAGGGCATTCCTGCTAATTGCCAGATATTGCATGTGGAACAAGAAGTGGTTGGTGACGGCACCACAGCGTTGCAATGTGTTCTTAACACTGATATTGAAAGAGCCCAGCTTTTGGAAGAAGAAGTTCAAATCCTGGCCAAGCAGGTTAGTTACAAGCTAGTATCATTAGCATTGGACTTGTTCAGGTGTTTTGTCCTTTTTTGCCCTTGGTTGTAATGTTCTTTTTTGTTTCGTTATCTGAAGAAAGAAATGGAGGTTGAAGAACCCGCAGCTAAGGAGGGAGTGCCTCCTACCAAAGATACAGTTGAAGCAGATCTTATGTCTCAAAGGCTTGAAGAGATATACAAAAGGCTTGATGCAATCGATGCTTATACTGCTGAGGCTCGGGCTGCTAGTATCCTTGCTGTACGTTTCTCTTAGGCTTTTTGTTTAGCATCAATATAATCATGTGCTTTTGTTGCTTTCAACTTCTGATTACTGCTAATTTGCACACAATGTTGTTCTCTATGATAATTTCAGGGGCTCAGTTTCACTCCAGAGATGCAGAAGAAAGCTACAAATACTTTCTCAGGAGGATGGAGAATGCGAATTGCACTTGCTCGTGCGCTTTTCATAGAGCCTGATTTGTTGTTGCTTGATGAGCCTACGGTGTGTTTTCGTTATGAGCTTCTTTTACTAGAAAAATCTATTTTCTTTGCATTTTCAAATCTCTGACATTCATTTCCTTTCCTCTGTTTTGGTAGAATCATCTTGATCTCCACGCTGTCTTGTGGTTGGAAACATATCTAACCAAGTGGCCAAAGACATTTATCGTCGTTTCCCATGCTAGGGAGTTCTTGAACACGGTACTTTTTCTCTCTCTCTTGATCTCCATGCAGTTATGACTTCCCCAATATCTCTGGACACATGTAATTCTTGTTTTTCGTTGCAGGTGGTCACGGACATCATTCATTTACAAAACCAAAAACTAAGTACGTATAAGGGTAATTATGATATATTCGAGAGAACACGAGAAGAACAAGTGAAGAATCAGACAAAAGCTTTCGAATCAAGTGAACGCTCACGGTCACATATGCAGGTTTCTTTTCCTTTTCTGCAAACTGATCTCATCAATTCCAAGTGTCTTTTTTTGTTTAGCAGAATTCCAAGTTTCCAACATGGTTGTTTTCTGCTGCAGGCGTTCATTGATAAATTTCGTTACAATGCAAAGAGAGCGTCTCTTGTTCAGTCAAGAATCAAGGTATCAACAGTTACAACTATTTTATGTGATTATATTTTGGCAATCAGCTGTAGTCTAATACTATTGTGTCTATGACCCAGGCATTGGACCGGCTTGCCCATGTTGATCAAGTTATTAACGATCCTGAGTAAGCAAACCCTCTAATATATATATTTATGTATATTATACAGCACCTTTACTTGAAATTAGGATCGATTATATATATTTAACCTCTTGTCTTTTCTTGTCTTGTGCAGCTATAAATTTGAATTCCCAACTCCTGACGACAAGCCTGGACCCCCCATTATCAGTTTCAGGTGTGTCATCATCTTCCAGAAATCAAATCTTGACACAAACTTGTCTTATTTTGGTAGATGGGGAGATTTTCTTACTCGCTTATTATTTTCTGCAGTGATGCATCATTTGGCTACGCTGGTGGTCCGTTGCTGTTTAGGAACCTGAATTTCGGAATCGATCTTGATAGTCGTATTGCAAGTAAGAATGCTCCCCACTCCCTCGATTATGACATCTCCCACAGATGAACCTTGGAGTTTTAAAACTGTCATCAATCGTATGTTGATATCAAATATTAGAATGTACAGCATTTTAAGCTCTGTATATGGTTTTCTTGCAGTGGTTGGTCCCAATGGTATTGGTAAATCAACCATACTGAAACTTATATCCGGCGATTTGCAACCAAGCTCTGGAACTGTTTTCCGTTCTGCTAAGGTATGGCAGAGAGCTCATCTTTTTTTCTTATTGGACACAGTCCCTCTGGAACATATGGGATGACCTTTTATCATACTCAAATTATGGAGACCCTGAAAAGCGTAGATCTTCAAATTTTGCTTCTGGCAACAACAATATCGTACCTTGGTTTTCGTTTTCCTGCTCTGTTAATGGTTAAACTTGTTTGTTGGCTCTCATATGGTGTATTTTTTTTTTGACAGGTTCGAGTTGCAGTGTTTAGTCAGCACCATGTGGATGGACTAGACCTTTCGTCGAATCCTCTTCTATATATGATGCGCTGCTACCCTGTAAGTTCTCATTCCAGTTATATCCCATATGTTTGTTTGTTTCGGTTCATAATCATGTTAAAAATGAATCATCTACTAGTATATGATTGAATGTGAATGTGGATGTTGCAGGGAGTACCGGAGCAAAAGCTAAGAAGTCACTTGGGGTCTCTTGGAGTCACTGGAAATCTTGCACTGCAGCCAATGTACACTCTATCAGGTGGACAGAAAAGCAGAGTGGCGTTTGCAAAGATCACATTCAAGAAACCACACTTGCTTTTGCTTGATGAGCCCTCCAATCATCTTGTAAGCCAAATCATTATTGAATATTCTTCCCTTTTAACAAGTAAGGAATGGTATATGCTAACAATAATGATGATGGTGTGCAGGATCTGGATGCTGTGGAAGCTTTGATTCAAGGACTTGTGCTATTCCAAGGCGGTATTTGCATGGTATACTATACACTCAACAATCCCTTGTTTTGTGCTTTCTTTCAAGAATGATTGATGATTATTAATGATACTTATTTGTGTCTGTGCAGGTGAGTCACGACGAGCATCTGATATCGGGAAGCGTGGATGAGCTGTGGGTTGTCTCCGACGGAAGGATTGCTCCTTTCGCTGGAACCTTCCATGACTACAAGAAACTTCTCCAGTCTTCTTCTTAAGCTGACTTCGACTTTGTTCATTATCCCTCAAATCCAAAATGTTGCGTTTTGCGTTTTGTTAGCCATCATCAATACAACACACACACCACGCCCAATCGTCCCTTCTTTACATTTTGGCGACCAGATTTTGCTTTATATTTTAGTTTAAACTTTAAATTGACAAGTATCAACTTATGTATGCAGTTTAAAAGAAGAAAAAATGATCTTATATGGTCATCTAATTAACTTCCAAGTTTGAACGTAAATTGTTTTTACAGCTTAGTTTTGTTTATAGTAATGAAAAAGCATGGTGGCCCATGAAGCCCAAATGCTTTAACTTGGTAAATTATGTGGGAAAAGACATAAAAAGTAATGCGTGGAACTGATTTATAATTAATAAAGCTTAAAACATAACAAAAAGATTAGAGGAGAGTTACAGACCCGACCCGAGTAAATCCGAGTCGGTTCTTCCTTCTTCTTCTTCTTCTTCAAACTCGATCAGAATTGAATTTAGTAAAACCTAATTTAATTGTTCCTCCTTTTCCTTCTATTTCTAGAATTGGATTTCGATATCTGTTCTCTGTCATGTTTATTTGGTAGCGAATCATGGAACCGTTGCCTCGAGTTTCTGGGTCTCCTCCCACGCCGTCGCAATCGTCTCTGAACAATGACCCAGAGGAAGAAGAGCGCGACTACGACGAGGAAGATGATGATGTTGATTTCAATCCCCTTCTCAAGGATTCTCCTTCTCGTGAAGCTTCTTCCAGTTTGAGCTCTGAAGTTGAAACTCTCGATGGCGAAATTGTTGACAGCATTGCTGTTCCCCAGAGCTTGGAAGAAAAAGAAGAAATCGCCACCGTCGAGTCAATCTCTCAGATTAATGCTCATACGGAATCCAGTTCTGATCCGGGTTCTCAGAAAGGAGACGACTTTGTAAGAGCAGAGGAAAATCCGGCAAATGAAAACGGAGGTGATATGATTCAGACTGATAAGCGAGTTCTGATGTCAGAGGAGGAAGATGATGCAATCTGCAAGCGAACTAGAGCTAAGTATTCCCTCGAGAGTTTCACTCTCGATGATCTTGAGGCCTTTCTTCAGGAGACTGATGATGAGGACGACATTCCAAATGTTGACGATGAGGCAGAGTACCGCAAGTTTCTCGCCGCCGTTTTACATGGTGGTGATGATGAGGTCCAGTTGGTACAGAGTGAAAACAACGACGAGGATGATGATGATGAGGATAACGATCTAGACTTTGAGATAGAGCTTGAAGAAGCACTGGAGACTGATGACGACGAAGCTATACCGGAAAAAGTCACAGCAGAGGATATCAAAAGCACTAAGCGACGGCCTGTGACTAGGCAGAAGAGACGGCAAAGCATCTCCGGTCAGCACAATACCAATTCTCCTGAGCAGTCTAGCAGATTGTTACGCCCTCTTGTACCCATCTTCCCCACTGCACAGCCTGTTAGGAGGTTTCCTGCAGTTGCTTCATCAGGAGACTGTCAAGTATATGGCTTCAGTCAAGCCCAAATCGGAGAATTGCATTGTATGATTCATGACCACCTTCAACTTCTTATCCAGGTTTACTCTCTTTGCGCACTTGATCATTCACGGCACCCCATTGGAACCCAACTCCAAGGGCTTATATCTGAGATGATCCAACGGCACCAAGGACCAAGTCAAGTTCTTGTCACTGGTTCGGCATCATCGGTTGTGGATCTAGCTGGGAGATATGTAGATGATGTTTCTAGTGGTATGTTATTTGGTTAAATGATAGATAGTGTGCTATATCTCTCTGTTTTCTTATCTGCTTTATTTTGACATATAGTTCTCTTGATTATTGGACCATTGTAGTTGTTCAAGACTATCGACGGAGTCAAGTGGAATCCGGTTTTGATGCTTCGTCTCTTAGAGTGCCATTGTTTCCACTTCCTCCTTCAGCCCCTAGTACAAGTAAGTCACCATCAGACCAGCAGCAACCTAGGAAGACGTTAGCTGCTACGCTCGTTGAATCAGCGAAGAAGCAATCTGTGGCCTTGGTCCATAAGGATATCGCCAAGCTAGCTAAAAGATTTCTGCCCTTGTTCAAAGCATCGCTCTTTCCCCACAAGCCACCTGCTGCAGCTGTTAGCAGTCGGTTCCTTTTCACTGACGCTGAGGATGAGTTAGTTTCTGCCCTTTTCTTTTCTTGCTCTGTTCTAGACTTCTGGTAGAGACTTGATGCTTTTGCGCTGCTTGAATGCAGATTACTTGCTCTTGGAATATTGGAATATAACTCAGACTGGAAGGCAATAAAGCAGCGCTTTCTTCCATGTAAAGGCGAGCATCAGGTAATCATCACCGAATATCTGCAGAACTAGCATTGGTTTTAGGTCGATGCAGTTCCTGTTGCAAATGTAGTAGGTTTGTCAGGTTTTAGAATCATTGTGTACTGATATTTCAAACATAGTTGTATTAAGTTTTCGATTTGATGCTCATGTGGTTTGATAGGGTAGGTTTTCATCAACCAGGCTGATAATAAAGAAATGAAAGACTTGTGTGTTCTAATACATTCTACTTGTATTTGTTTCAGATTTATATCAGGCAAAAAAACCGGAGATCATCTAAAGCCCCAGAAAATCCAATTAAGGTCTGTTGATACTTGATTTTGTTTATCACCTTTTTTTGTATGCTTATCTGTCTGCCTATCGGTTCCCTAAAGTAATATACATGGTGGAGCTAACCGAACATACATTATGCAAAATCAACATTACATATTTAAGATTGTATTTTGTTCTGTCATGTGGGTTTTCTTCTTACTGGTGTGTATGTATATGTTTTCCCAACTACAGGCAGTTTTGAGGATGAAAAGCTCTCCCCTGACTCCACAAGAGATAGTACGAATACAAGAGGTAATTCGACAACCGCACCCTTTTGCAAGTCTGATTGGTAATTGTACTCGGATGCTCAGTATAAACATGAATCCTCAGGGGCTTAAGTACTTCAAATACGATTGGATGTCGGTGTGGCAATTCATTGTGCCTTATCGAGATCCATCCTCACTGTCACGGCAATTGCGCACTGCCCTTGGAACTCAGAAGTCATATAAGCTAGATGCTGTCAAAAATGAGAAGCGGCGATTATATGACACAAAAAGAAAGTCTAGAGAGCAACTGACATCTGCAAGAAAGGTCTGTCTTCTCAAATCATAGAACTCACTCATACTGAATATGTTAGTTTTGGCTTTCTCACAAAAATAAATAAATGTGATTTACCTTTACTCACCTTTCATCGCATGTTGCAGGACCGTCCTGGTACTTCTAAGGCCAATGAAAATCAGGCTGGGGATGAATTGGTCGAGAATTCAGGTGAAGCATATCTACATGAAGGATTCTTAGCAGAGTGGAGGCCAGCTCTCTTTTATTATACATCTATGCACTCCTTTGACAAGGCAAAGGATGTTCCTCGTGAGTCAGTACAAACATGTACTGGTGAAGGATCTAAAACTCCTGAAATTCGTGGTCCCCAAATTCTGTCATGTACGCAGAGGCTTGCACCTTCTCTCATTCCTCTGTACCACCACCCATCTGGTACAACACCCGATGCCTCAAGAGCACCGATAACTATGCGGCCATATCGTTCTCGTAAACTATGCAGCAGAAGTGTTGTGAGACTAGCCCCTGATTTGCCTCCAGTTAACCTTCCCTCTTCTGTCCGTGTTATCTCCCAGTCGGTTTTTGCCAAGAATCAGTCTGAGACATCCTCCAAAACTTGTATCGTCAAGGGTGGTATGTCTGATGTTTCTGGGAGGGAAAATATGGGTACTGAACCTCCTTGCTCTTCAGCTGATGGAGATAACAACGCTCCCTCTAGCGAGAAAGTGGTGGATTTGCAGGAAGCTGTGCCTGCAGAGAGCTCCTCTGGGATGGGCGAAACAAACAATGACTCAGATCTTCAAATGCATCCTTTACTGTTCCGGACCCCGGAGCGTGGACAGATTACGTGTTATTCTTCAAAGCGAGACCCGGGAGGTTCTAGTTCCTTTAGTTTCTTTCCTGACAATCGACCTCAGTTGCTGAGTCTTTTCAACAGTCCAAGGCAAATCAATCACTCAGCTGATCAGTCTCAGAAGAAACCATCAGTAAATGAACATGAGGCAGCAGTGGACGACAGCTGTTTTCATCCTCTTCTTCAAAGAACTGAGTATGAAACGAGTTGTCGTATTAGTAGACGTGGGAACTTAGACCTAGACATTGGCAAGAAAGGCAAATTATGTCAACTTGAGGATACTTCTAGTGCTGGTCGTCGTGATGCCAGCTTGAAACCTTTTAGCTCTAAAAAAGTGAACTTAGATATCAATCTAAGTTCGAGCTCTTCTAAGGTTAAAGATTGTGGAAGAGATACTTCGGAAGTTCCAGACATGTGCATGGTTCAGCGTAATGGTGACTCTCAAGTGCCTGGATCAACCGCAGCAAGTGTTAATATTAGTAGATGCATTGAAGAGATGGCTGATCAATCTAATCTAGGTATAGTGATGGAACAAGAGGAATTAAGTGATTCTGACGACGAAATGACAGAAGAAGAAGAAGTTGAGTTTGAGTGTGAAGAGATGGCTGATTCTGAAGGAGAAGAAGGATCAGAATGCGAAGAAACCATTGAAATGCAAGATAAGGTATGCTGCATCTATTTTTTTCCAGTCATGTACAATGTAGAGATGCCCTCTTTGTTGTTGTGTAGTTGTGTGATGGTCTTGGTGATGCATATGAACTTTTCCATGTGCAGGATAACAGAAGCTCTGCAGTAGAAACAGCTTCAACAGATGTCGATTCTGGCAAAGAACTAGGCAGGGATTCTCCAAACAGTCCTTGGTTGAGGCTAGATCCCAGTAGCAAGGATATAGAGAGGACAGAGCCAGAAAACAAAACGACTAGTAGATCACGCAAGAAGAGGACACCAATGAAGAGAAGAGATGCAGAAACAAAGGAAGACGCAGGCGTTGCTCGGTTGAGACTAGGTCCTCTCGCCCTTCCTTCAATGAAGAGACCGAGGAAGTGTGTTGGGCAGGCGGATACAAGTCCAAGGATTGAGACAACCTGAGAAACTTGTATATGACTTATGACATATTCAACAAGAGAAAAAGGAAACACACATTTGGGGACTGAGAAATTGGACGCTCACTATTCTGCAACACTAGAAAGGCTCATCAGCTAGTGTGGTTCTCGGATCGCCAGAAAGCTCCTCCTTATTGCTTGGCAGGCCACGCTTTACACTATGTCAAAGCCTACATCGGTTACCATTGTCCACAATCGATGTAGCAGTGAAAAGCAGAGCTTCGAGTTTCAGAGAATCGAACCAACGTTGGTGTTCGTGCTCTTAACCAACCATGACAATCTCTCCGTCGACCTTTCACTCTCCACGACATCATCCAAGGAGAAACTTCTGTTGGTTTGAGACCAAACTGGGAACATACGCGAGGTGACAAGGCCACGGATCAAGCAAAGCATCAATCGGTATCTTCTTGAACGTATCTGCCCTCACAATGTAGATGCAAACCATCCCAATGAGCCCTTTATCGTCGATGAAGTAGCTTGCCTGAGACACAGTACAAATTGTCTTGTAATCTCAGGTAATTAGGCATCGAAATCTGTCATTAACATTTCTCCACGACACATGCTCCTCCTGATCCTTATCACCACCACCATTATTAATCTCAGTCTTCATTGTTCTATGGCATTTCTCAACCAACTATCTGGCACAATCTCAACTTTTCTGGTTCAATTCTAATTTGCTTAAGTTTAAAAGTTTTACAACCGTTTTTAAGATGTTTATCCAGTTTTAAGTTTGTTGCTTTTCTTAAACACACTTTACATATCTTGTTATAAGCTAAAAGAAAGGTTTTTGATGACATTAATCTGATGCTAAAGACGAAACTAACATCACTAACCGTAGATATCGTTAATTACTTAATTAGCCACAACTTTTATTACAAGGCAGAAAAAAAACAAAAGAAAAAGAAGAAAAGCATCCTGAAAAACGAGAGAGAGTACGGACTCGTCAAACAACGTCAGTCTCTTGGGATCCTCCGGACATTCATCTTTCCACTGACATTAGCTTTGATGATTTTTCCTGGGAGCTGGACCTTAGGGACGATGATCCAGAGCACACCATTGACAAGATTAACGATTGCTTTCTTCACATCGTAAAACTCTGTCTCGAAAGCCATGGAGCCTCCGTATTTGCGTCCGCCGTGGTTGTACTCGGGCATGGCTGGTTCTTCGGCGAAGACATGGAGTTCGTTGCCGTGGACCCAGTACACAAGCTCTGAAGTGGGACATCCAGGCATGTCTATCCTGTAAATCACGCACTCTTTCGTGTCCTTCATCTCGAAGGGCTCGTGATGACCACTTCTCTGGAATCGGTTCCTCGCTAGAAAAACAACACACCCACGAGAGATGAGTCAGTGAATAGAGAGAGTTAACAAACAAAAAACTGTAAAAAAAAGATGTGAAGAAGAGAAGGAAGACGTACGAAGAGGTGGAAGATGATTCGGCCAATCACTTTCTCGATGACCACCGCTTACTGCTTCACTCATCCTTGAAAATTAATCTTAAACGACTTGCTTTTACTGTTTTGGAAAGTGGATATTTTGGAAAGGGGAGTGCGCTACTTATTATTTTTATAGCAGGGTTAAACTTAAATGAGTGAGACATTCTAGGTTTGGAAAAGGCTTCTCAATTTATAATGGGTCTAGTAATCGGCCCAATTAGGTTATTTCCATATGGGCCTAGTTATCATGATGAGCCTCGAATATTGGTCGAATTTCCGAATGTTTTTTTTTGGTAAAAGAATTTCCAAATGTTGTTGAAGAAAAATGCTTCATGATTTCTTTATGAGGTTCCTATACTTCCGTCTTCCTATCTTTTGAAAACAAATGACATGAATCACTAATCGTCATTAACACTCTCAACGAGACATGCTCCCCTGATCCTAACTCTCTCTTTCAATCTTAACTATTTAAGGTTTAGGGTTTAGGATTTAGGTTTGTGGGCTAACCTTTTGAGTAAACCCAAATTTAATATCATGCCCAAATATTTGGAAAAACTCAAAGGATTAGCCCACAAAGTCTGAGAAAATTGATGCATTTTGAGGTTTTTGTAAAATAATGAATAGAATATGTCTAAAGTGATATTAAAATGATCCAATCATTTTCCAGTGTAAAAAAAGAGTGTCTAAGAAAGCCAAAGCAAACACTATTTCAATTTTTTCAAAATTTGAAAAAACTGAAAGGGGTTAGCTCACAATTTCTGAGAAAATGATGCATTTTAAGGTTTTTGTAAAATAATGAATGAAATATGTCTAAAGTGATATTAAATTGATCCAACCATTTTCCAGTGTAAAAGAGTGTCCAAGAAAGCCAAAGAAAACACTATTTCAATTTTTTCAAAATTTGGAAAAACTCAAAGGGTTAGCCCATTCTGAGAAAATTGATGCATTTTGAGGTTTTTGTAAATTAATGAATGAATATGTCTAAATGATATTAAATTGATCCAACATTTTCCAGTGTAAAAGAGTGTCCAAGAAAGCCAAAGCAAACACTATTTCAATTTTTTCAAAATTTGGAAAAACTCAAAGGGGTTAGCCCACAAATTCTGAGAAAATTGATGCATTTTGAGGTTTTTGTAAAATAATGAATGGAATATGTCTAAAGTGATATTAAATTGATCCAACATTTTCCAGTGTAAAAGAGTGTCCAAGAAAGCCAAAGCAAACACTATTTCAATTTTTTCAAAATTTGGAAAAACTCAAAGGGGTTAGCCCACAAATTCTGAGAAAATTGATGCATTTTGAGGTTTTTGTAAATAATGAATGGAATATGTCTAAAGTGATATTAAATTGATCCAACCATTTTCCAGTGTAAAAGAGTGTCCAAGAAAGCCAAAAAAACACTATTTCAATTTTTTCAAAATTTGGAAAAACTCAAAGGGGTTAGCCCACAGATTATGAGAAAATTGATGCATTTTGAGGTTTTTGTAAATAATGAATGGAATATGTCTAAAGTGATATTAAATTGATCCAACCATTTTCCAGTGTAAAAGAGTGTCCAAGAAAGCCAAAACAAACATATTTCAATTTTTTCAAAATTTGGAAAAACTCAAAGGGGTTAGCCCACAAATTCTGAGAAAATTGATGCATTTTGAGGTTTTTGTAAATTAATGAATGGAATATGTCTAAAGTGATATTAAATTGATCCAACCATTTTCCAGTGTAAAAGAGTGTCCAAGAAAGCCAAAAAACACTATTTCAATTTTTTCAAAATTTGGAAAAACTCAAAGGGGTTAGCCCACAGATTATGAGAAAATTGATGCATTTTGAGGTTTTTGTAAATTAATGAATGGAATATGTCTAAAGTGATATTAAATTGATCCAACCATTTTCCAGTGTAAAAGAGTGTCCAAGAAAGCCAAAAAAACACTATTTCAATTTTTTCAAAATTTGGAAAAACTCAAAGGGGTTAGCCCACAAATTCTGAGAAAATTGATGCATTTTGAGGTTTTTGTAAATTAATGAATGGAATATGTCTAAAGTGATATTAAATTGATCCAACCATTTTCCAGTGTAAAAGAGTGTCCAAGAAAGCCAAAGAAAACACTATTTCAATTTTTTCAAAATTTGGAAAAACTCAAAGGGGTTAGCCCACAGATTCTGAGAAAATTGATGCATTTTGAGGTTTTTGTAAATTAATGAATGGAATATGTCTAAAGTGATATTAAATTGATCCAACCATTTTCCAGTGTAAAAGAGTGTCCAAGAAAGCCAAAGAAACACTATTTCAATTTTTTCAAAATTTGGAAAAACTCAAAGGGGTTAGCCCACAGATTATGAGAAAATTGATGCATTTTGAGGTTTTTGTAAATTAATGAATGGAATATGTCTAAAGTGATATTAAATTGATCCAACCATTTTCCAGTGTAAAAGAGTGTCCAAGAAAGCCAAAGAAACACTATTTCAATTTTTTCAAAATTTGGAAAAACTCAAAGGGGTTAGCCCACAGATTCTGAGAAAATTGATGCATTTTGAGGTTTTTGTAAATTAATGAATGGAATATGTCTAAAGTGATATTAAATTGATCCAACCATTTTCCAGTGTAAAAGAGTGTCCAAGAAAGCCAAAGAAACACTATTTCAATTTTTTCAAAATTTGGAAAAACTCAAAGGGGTTAGCCCACAATTCTGAGAAAATTGATGCATTTTGAGGTTTTTGTAAATTAATGAATGGAATATGTCTAAAGTGATATTAAATTGATCCAACCATTTTCCAGTGTAAAAGAGTGTCCAAGAAAGCCAAAAAAACACTATTTCAATTTTTTCAAAATTTGGAAAAACTCAAAGGGGTTAGCCCACAGATTATGAGAAAATTGATGCATTTTGAGGTTTTTGTAAATTAATGAATGGAATATGTCTAAAGTGATATTAAATTGATCCAACCATTTTCCAGTGTAAAAGAGTGTCCAAGAAAGCCAAAAAAACTATTTCAATTTTTTCAAAATTTGGAAAAACTCAAAGGGGTTAGCCCACAGATTCTGAGAAAATTGATGCATTTTGAGGTTTTTGTAAATTAATGAATGGAATATGTCTAAAGTGATATTAAATTGATCCAACCATTTTCCAGTGTAAAAGAGTGTCCAAGAAAGCCAAAGAAACACTATTTCAATTTTTTCAAAATTTGGAAAAACTCAAAGGGGTTAGCCCACAGATTATGAGAAAATTGATGCATTTTGAGGTTTTTGTAAATTAATGAATGGAATATGTCTAAAGTGATATTAAATTGATCCAACCATTTTCCAGTGTAAAAGAGTGTCCAAGAAAGCCAAAGAAAACACTATTTCAATTTTTTCAAAATTTGGAAAAACTCAAAGGGGTTAGCCCACAGATTATGAGAAAATTGATGCATTTTGAGGTTTTTGTAAATTAATGAATGGAATATGTCTAAAGTGATATTAAATTGATCCAACCATTTTCCAGTGTAAAAGAGTGTCCAAGAAAGCCAAAGAAACACTATTTCAATTTTTTCAAAATTTGGAAAAACTCAAAGGGGTTAGCCCACAGATTCTGAGAAAATTGATGCATTTTGAGGTTTTTGTAAATTAATGAATGGAATATGTCTAAAGTGATATTAAATTGATCCAACCATTTTCCAGTGTAAAAGAGTGTCCAAGAAAGCCAAAGAAACACTATTTCAATTTTTTCAAAATTTGGAAAAACTCAAAGGGGTTAGCCCACAGATTCTGAGAAAATTGATGCATTTTGAGGTTTTTGTAAATTAATGAATGGAATATGTCTAAAGTGATATTAAATTGATCCAACCATTTTCCAGTGTAAAAGAGTGTCCAAGAAAGCCAAAGAAAACACTATTTCAATTTTTTCAAAATTTGGAAAAACTCAAAGGGGTTAGCCCACAGATTCTGAGAAAATTGATGCATTTTGAGGTTTTTGTAAATTAATGAATGGAATATGTCTAAAGTGATATTAAATTGATCCAACCATTTTCCAGTGTAAAAGAGTGTCCAAGAAAGCCAAAGAAAACACTATTTCAATTTTTTCAAAATTTGGAAAAACTCAAAGGGGTTAGCCCACAGATTCTGAGAAAATTGATGCATTTTGAGGTTTTTGTAAATTAATGAATGGAATATGTCTAAAGTGATATTAAATTGATCCAACCATTTTCCAGTGTAAAAGAGTGTCCAAGAAAGCCAAAGAAACACTATTTCAATTTTTTCAAAATTTGGAAAAACTCAAAGGGGTTAGCCCACAGATTCTGAGAAAATTGATGCATTTTGAGGTTTTTGTAAATTAATGAATGGAATATGTCTAAAGTGATATTAAATTGATCCAACCATTTTCCAGTGTAAAAGAGTGTCCAAGAAAGCCAAAGAAACACTATTTCAATTTTTTCAAAATTTGGAAAAACTCAAAGGGGTTAGCCCACAGATTCTGAGAAAATTGATGCATTTTGAGGTTTTTGTAAATTAATGAATGGAATATGTCTAAAGTGATATTAAATTGATCCAACCATTTTCCAGTGTAAAAGAGTGTCCAAGAAAGCCAAAGAAACACTATTTCAATTTTTTCAAAATTTGGAAAAACTCAAAGGGGTTAGCCCACAGATTATGAGAAAATTGATGCATTTTGAGGTTTTTGTAAATTAATGAATGGAATATGTCTAAAGTGATATTAAATTGATCCAACCATTTTCCAGTGTAAAAGAGTGTCCAAGAAAGCCAAAGAAACACTATTTCAATTTTTTCAAAATTTGGAAAAACTCAAAGGGGTTAGCCCACAGATTCTGAGAAAATTGATGCATTTTGAGGTTTTTGTAAATTAATGAATGGAATATGTCTAAAGTGATATTAAATTGATCCAACCATTTTCCAGTGTAAAAGAGTGTCCAAGAAAGCCAAAGAAACACTATTTCAATTTTTTCAAAATTTGGAAAAACTCAAAGGGGTTAGCCCACAGATTATGAGAAAATTGATGCATTTTGAGGTTTTTGTAAATTAATGAATGGAATATGTCTAAAGTGATATTAAATTGA